ACCGCAATTTCAAGTTTAATGAGATAATGCCTTTCAACAATTCTACTACGGTATTTTCTCTACTTTTCTCTACTAGTAGCGAACCGTGGTGAGCCGAGTTTGATGACGATTTTACGGTTTTCAAGCTTTTGCAGAAGCTCAACACTCTAATCTCCGACTAGATCTCATCGTCAGCTACATTTTCCAACCCCACATCGATAGGTTCTGATAAGCGGTTCTATAGATTTCGAGGATTTTAGGCGACGCTCTGGGTGCACTTTTAGAGAGAATACGGTATTAGGCTGTCCAGAAATTCTTTTATCGTTCCTTTTCTAGCTCTAGGGCCGTCCTGCTATCCTAATATTTTCCCTAATAGTAGTGCACCGAGTTGAGGACAATTTTACGATTTCCAACTCTTCTCAGAAGCTCAACACTCTAATCCCCCACTAGATCTCATCGTCAGCTACATTTTCCGACCCCACATCGATAAGTTCTGATAAGCGGTTCTCGAGATTTCGAGCAATGCTCTGGCGACGCTCTGGGGTGCACTACTATTAGAGAAAATACAGTAATTAATCCCAATATTTTAATAAAATTTTAAACCAAAGCCAATCCAAAAGCCAGAAACCCGTCCAAATCCCATCAAAAAAAGGAGTTTGTAGAATATTCAAAGAGGAGCAGAGTTCATGAAAGAGAAACCCACAATGGACTCAAAAAGAGAAAGAAAATGATCTCCGTTTGTGATCACCGAAATGAATAAATGAGCATTTCCTGAGATCGCTTCCCAAGAAACAACTAAGTATTCTTTCGTTTTTCAGATCAAATTTCTTTCCTTTTGCCCTGATTTGGACAGAAGAAGAGAAATGACAGCTTTGGATCACATTACGCCTTTTCCTTCTTCCCCCGCTAATCAACGCTGGCCTTGTTTTGACGAGATTTGAGAATCTTCTCGCAAAACATTATAAGTCATGTCTTTCATTCTGATTAAATACACGAAACTTGTTCTTTATGAGAGTTTGTGTTCATCGAAACACACTTTCCTTGATGCACCCTTTCATTTTTTTTGATTTAAGACGGTTGCGAGCTTGTTTTCAAATTCAAATTGTTGTAAACTTTTTGAAATACTTTCTATGCAGCTAATTTGTGCTTAGAAACACACCTTTCCTGGCATATTCACATTGTTTTTGTATGTTCAGGCTTAAAAATAGAAATATATACTTTCTGGTGGGCTTAATGTTCTTTTTTTGAATGTTAGCGAATCTCTGAATGTTAGCGAATCTAACTAAAACTTAGATTTCTCTAGTTCTCTTTCGTCTCAAAAATCCCGTCAACTTGCGCGTAAAGTTCATGCTAATTATGTGAACTTTTCTTGTCTCTCCACTTGTTCAGAAACAAATTGCTTACTTCTTTCCGCATTCATTAGCTTTTTTTACTTATTTTTATCAAGATAATCAATAGATATCGAGACTTTTTGAATAAATAATCTGCTAATTCATGTTCATGCTAATTATGTGAACTTTTCTTGTCTCTTCACTTGTCTAGAAACAAATTGGTTGCTTGTTTCCGCATTCATTAGCTTTTTTACTTATCAAGATACTTAGATATCAAGATACAAGATACAGGATCAAGCTCAAGATCAAGATCAAGCTCAAGATCAAGATCAAGATCAAGCTCAAGATTAAGATCAAGATCAAGATCAAGATCAAGCTCAAGATTAAGATCAAGATCAAGATCAAGATCAAGCTCAAGATCAAGCTCAAGATCAAGCTCAAGATCAAGATCAAGATACTACTTATCAATACTTACTTACTTACTTATCAATATAAAGACTTTTATATTGATAATCTGCCTTTATTCTATTTTTATAAAGATTTTTGATTATTCAAATCTAATTTCTAATCTAATCTCTAATCTAATTGATTATCTAAATCTAATTTTAGAGCTTTGGAAAGAAAAACGATCAAAAAATGACGACACGAGCCATTCAAAAGCAGCGGCAAATCCCGCGGATCGAGGTTTGTATTTAATGATTTGGATTAGGAAAATCTCCGTTCATTTTGGGAATTTTCAAAAAAAAATGGATTATTTCATGAATTGAGTAGATTTTATCTCAAAAAAAGGCAACAATTAAAGAAAAATTTCAATGAAAATTGATTCATTGAAGCGTTTAATACCAGGAAAATTGAAAATATCTATGGGCAGCCAGTTTACAGTACACTTTTATATATAGATTTTGATAGAAGCTTTGATTTTTATGTTCACTTTTTGTCTATAATGCCATTTTTGAAGCGATCAACTTTCAATCCAAAGTAATCTATGTACTTTTTGCTCGGGATTTGTAAACACACTCTTTCTAATGCACTTAATTTCCTCCGTTTCCTTGTAGAAAGCTTTGATTTCGTGAGAATTGCACCAGAAAAAGTGTGTTTACAAATTTGAGCACAAAAAAGAAACACAGCATATTCAAATGAGTCTAATCATTTGGCGTTTAGATAGCGTTTATATAGCGCTTAGATAGCGTTTAGATAGCGTTTAAATAGCGTTTAGATAGCGTTTAGATATTAAAGCGTTTAGATAGCGTTTAGATAGCGTTTAGATATTAAAGCGTACATAACAGAACGTTAAATTCCTTAAAAATGTTCATTTTTAATGAGTGAGCTAATTGAGAAGTTTCACGTGAATATTTTGACAAGGAAAATGTTGCCAATGAGGGAAGAGAGGGGAAAGGGAAGAGATGCCAATGAGGGAAGAGAAGGCATCCATTTCTCTAGCTGTTTTCCTTGAATCCTTTTTCCTTTTTCTCTAAATAAACACAAAAAACCCTATTTTGGGTATACTGTAGGTACTGAATTGTAGCCAGCTACAAAATTTTGTTTTTACTCTGACAAAATTTCTAGTTCTTCGAGTTATTCTTCATTTGATTTTGCAGCTTTTCTCTAATTTTTTAAAAATAACTTTGCAGAATGCTTTCCTGTTGGTATTGTGCTCAAAAAAATTGCAAACGCACCCTTTCTGGTGCACTTAAATCTTAGCAAATCTTAAAGTGTTTATATTATCCTCAAATGATATAAGAAATAAGAATTGTTGAATGTTTTGGTGAGTGTCGGAGATGTACTTTGAAGGAGCGCATAATCGCGCGCATTCTGGCACACGGAGTAGATAGATACCGAGAAAGAGACCTTTGCCGGAGGTGTACTTTGAAGAAGCACATAATCGCGCGCCTTCTGGCACACGGAGCAGATAGATGCCGAGAAAGAGACTGCCAAAGTCGGTTTAATTACCCAAGTTAGAGGTTGGTGTTAACCCCGAGAGCGACATAAAGTGTCTCGAGAAATTTTAGAACGGATTTCCCTTTTCAGAAGTCCACAAATCTCATAGTCAACAATTCTCATTGTCAACAATCACTTTGAATCCTGAATCCAAAGATTCGTGAAAAAATCGAATAGATTCAGTACGCCAGAAAAGTGTGTGCTTGCAATTTGTAAGCACAAAGTACACGTAACCATGAGCCGCTTTCCCTTCTTCGTGTACTTTGTGCTTTTCCAATGCATCAGAAAGGGTGTGTTTACAGTTTTTTTTGATGCGTCTACAATGAACAGTCAAAATAGCTTCTTCAAGTAATTTGGCTATCCAAAAGTCCGAAATTGAACTTCATTCACGATTTCCCCCCAAGCACCTACGCAATAGTTGCCAAAATATCCAATAAAAATACCCCACTCAGCGTCATTTTGTCGTCTTCTTTTCGCCTTTAGAAAAAGAACTCCTTGAACTTGTTATTGGACTGAAAACGATGAGGAAAAAGCGGAAGTCTCTTCAATTTTCTTTTTCAGCTATCTGACACCTCGTTTTCCCTTCTTTTCTCTAAATGTCATTTCCATTCTCGGGTCTTCTTCCTCTTCTTCCTCTTCCTCTTCCTCTATGTAAGCGCGATGAAACTATATGCCTAGTTATCTATTCTTAACTAATAAACTATTAGTGTTGAGTACTATGTGTTCATATGGCTTGCACTTTTTAGAAACAACTAATGCTTCATTTCACTTACATAAATCTGTTTTTCAGTAAAAGGGTATTTTCATTCTGGACAATCTAATAGGTTTAATTAAAGATTAAGTGGGATACCCGAAACAGAATACCACTCTAATGAATACCAAACAGAATACCACTCAGAATACCACTCTAACACTTTGAAAAGCCGTATCTTTTGTTTTTTTGATTTTGAAAGCCAAGAAAAGAATGCGGACGTGAATTTGCTCAACAGAAACTGCTGAACAGAAACTGCTCAACAGAAACTGCTGAACAGAAACTGCTGAACAGAAACTGCTGAACAGAAACTGCTGAACAGAAACTGCTGAACAGAAACTAAAGAAGAAACTCAACAATCGGACAAAAGACTAAACTTCTGTCCTGTTTATCAAAAGTAGAGCAAAAGTTTAGCAGAAGAACATTGCAGAAAAACAAGCTCTACTTAAGAATCTTTGATCCAGAAAACAAACTCCTTAAAATCTCATCGAGAGCTTCAAAATATGTTTTCTTGTACGTTTTTTTTCGGGGGGAAAAAACTAGTGAAGTTGAGAAGGTAAACTCTTAAACAAACTTCTCTTAAACACGCTCAGAGAAACGAAAAAGCAGAAGAGGTCAATTGAACGGGATTTTAGCGCGAAGAACATAAACCCTTTAGGGTAATCGAAAAGGGGAAAGCTTTCTTTATTTTTTTTTCCTTTACCTTCTTTTTCTCTCTCATCCGATTCACATCCTTCTCATTTATTCCACTCTTTTCCCCATAAAATCGTCTCTTTCAAATTGAAAATCGCCTTTCAAATCGCCTCATTTTAGGGTAACTGCATTTTCCCTAAATTTCACAGAATCCAAAATCTTTCCATGCTTTTGTCCTTATCTTTAGCTTTAGCATTTGTTTGTTTTTTGGAAGTTCTTGCAGCAATTCTTCAATTCTTGAACAATTCTTGAAGTTTTCGTCTTTTTCTTCTTCTTCTTCTTGTATTTGACTTCTTAAGCCGCTGAAAATGAAATTGTTTGATCGCTGGCTCTCGTTGCCCTACAATGACTATATAGAGGTGGGCAAAAATGGGGAAAAATGGGGAACAATGGGCTTAAACTAAAAATAAGACTTTCAGCAAGCCTTTGAACTTTATTATTGAACAAGTTAAGCTCTTTTTTTCAGATCCGAAGAAGCTCATCGCTGCAATTTCCGATGGAATCCGAGCACTGTATGCCGTTGCCGACTTCGCACACGCAGGTATTCAATTATTGATATGTTATTGATATATTATTGATTTATTATTAATATATTATTAATATATTATTCATATATTATTCATATATTATTGATATATCAACCAAATTATTCTTTTAAAACCAATTTTCCTTGAAAGCCAGATTCTGACGCGGCTTTTAGCCTTGCCTTACTTTACTAAAAGATCTACTAAAAGTTTAGTCTACAGAAAGTACTTGAACATGACAGTAATTAGGTCTGGAGATGATTTAGGCTTTTGAGAACTATTTTAGGAAAGAATTATGGTCAGTACAAGATACAAGAACATTAAGGTTATTTCAAAGTGAAAGCTAGATTTGGGTCTGTCTTTTTTGAAGTGAACCTGGCTTACAGTTTAAGTTTGGCTTGTCTCTAGCAAAGGCTAAGCTCTAGGCTCTCTAGACTTGTCTCTAGCAAAGGCTAAGCTCTAGGCTCTCTAGACTTGTCTCTAGCAAAGGCTAAGCTCTAGGCTCTCTAGACTTGTCTCTAGCAAAGGCTAAGCTCTAGGCTCTCTAGACTTGTCTCTTTTCTCTAGCAAATAGTCTTTTATACATTTCAGACTATATTCTTGATATACTAAAGAATCAAATGATTCAGGGAAACTCAGAAAAAAAGATAAATAGCTAAAATTTGAGATTGATCTGCTGAACACAAAAACGGCGACGATCTCAAGTTCGATGTACACGCTGACGCAAATCTCTGAGAGTGCCAGCGCGATGAACTTGTACACGATTATGGCAAGGTGGATTGGGATTTGAAATTAGATAAAGATATTGATAAAGATAAAGATAAAGATAAAGATAAATCTTTTTCGATCAATCAAAATTCCAGATATCGATGCTGTTTCGGGTTTTGTCGGCTCCGGGTGGGCGGTTGTGTGATCGCCGCGTTCTCGATTTGCATGTCGGTGATAAGTGAGTGGATTCAGGAACATTTTCACAAACTTAACTACAATAATCCTTTGTTATTAATCTTTATTATCGATCAAATTACAGCTTTATGCCTCATTCTCTCATTGGCTCATCAATTAACGAAAGGTTTTCAAGATATCTTTCTACTGCCACTCGTTTGCACATCGTTATTTCAAGTGGGTGAAGCTTTCAAGCACTTTAACCCATTCAAAACACCACTATTTTGAGTGTACAGTCGCGTAGTTGTTAACTGTTTTATTAATAACTAATAATCTCACAAATCTCCTTCTTCAGGTGGCCTCAGCGATGAGTCTAATCGTCGGGATTCTCATCGAGAATCATCTCCTCATTTTACCCTTCATCGCCAATATTATCATTCAAATTCTGCTCCACATGGCCTTAACAATCATTTTTCTCATTACTTCAAATCATTCGGATGTGAGTTTTTCAATAATTTTCTTGTTTTTAAAGAAACAATGTGTCAAGAACAGAGATTGTTCAAACTCTGGGTGTAGCTAAGCTTTAGTCTGGATTTGAATATCTTTAGGATATTTGAAGGATTTGAATAACTTTCGAATATCTTTAGAATATAATCTACCCACTTTTGGCTTTCTTCTAGAAATAGGAACAGAATTGGAACTATAAGGAAGCAAATAGGAACCAAATAGCTAGCTACACTTATAAGCTAGCTATAAGGAACCAAATAGGAACAAATAGGTGTCAAAAGCAGAGATTTTTCAAACTCTGGGTATAGCTTTAGTCTGGAAGAATTTGAATATCTTTAGAATATCTTTAGAATATAATCTACCCACTTTTTGCTTTCTTCTCGAAATAGGAACTGAATTGGAAACAGGAAACATTTCAGGAAACAAATAGGAATCAAATAGGAACCAAATAGGAACTATAAGGAACCAAATAGGAAAAAATAGGTGTCAAGAGCAGAGATTGTTCAAACTCTGGGTGTAGCTAGGCTTTAGTCTGAAAGAATTTGAATACCTTTAGAATATCTTTAGAATATAATCTACCCACTTTTGGCTTTCTTCTCGATTTTCATCGTCGCTCTTTATGTTTGGTTTATGGCATTGACAGCGATGACATTTGTGTTGATCAGGGATAAGAAAAGATTTAAGTGAGTCGATGAATGAATGAAAACAGAAAAATCAAGGTAAAGAAGTACAGAAAGATAAAGATTTAAAGATAAGATTTTAATTAAAATTTAGTTTGAAATGTATCTCTTTTTAAAGTAAATGGATTTATTGAATCAGAATTGAAAAAAGAATTTGTTTAGGTGAAAATTGAGTGAGCTTTATTTAATTTAGTCCAAACAAAAGCCAAAGTCTGACTCTGGAAGAGCTCTGAAATCCAGGGCTCTGAAAGAGCTCTGGATAGGAGGAAATGTCAAAATCGTCAATTTGAATCGACATAAAGTACTTTTTGAGATAAGTAAACTTTTTGAAAAGAAAATTTCTAACAGAACGTTTCATTTGTCTCATTCAGATGGGAACTCGACGAGAATTTCGCGAATGCTCAACAAAAACCGATGGATCGAGTGAGCAGCTCGTATTTTTGAGAAGAAAATCATCCAAAATCATCAAAACTCATTCAAAATCATCCAAAATCATCCAAAATCATCAAAAATCATTCAAAATCATTCAAAATCATTCAAAAATCATTCAAAATCATCTCAAATCACCCAAAATCATCCAAAATTCAAGCTTTTTCTTTTAAACTAACAAATTCTTATTTAAAAATCTCTTTAACGGGTTGGAGACGTTTGTTTTTCTCAAGTTTCTTGTAGCTTTAAACTCTTAGAGATGATCTCTTTTCCGGTGCCTTTGGGAATTTTTTGAAACTTAGAAATAAACTCTTTTATATTTTAAATACTCTTTAATAAACTCTTTTAAAATAGCAAAATACACAGATCACAGTACACAGATTACAGTACACAGATTACAATACACAGATTACAGTACACAGATTACAGTACACAGATTACAGTACACAGATTACAGTGCACAGATTACATTCCTTTTTTTAAAGTATTCGAATATTTAAAAAGCTTAAAGAGATTCAGATTCATTTAAAAAGCTTAAAGATATTCAGTTTGAAGAGACGAGAGACTCCAAAATACAAACAGAATCTGTGAGCTTGGAATTGAAGAATTATGCATTCTAAATAGCTTTTACTGATAAGTTTTTATGAAGATGAGTAATCAGATTTGGGAATTTCGAAAATTTCCCCAATGTGGACTTTTCGATTTTCGAAATGTGGTTTTTTCGATTTTCAATTTTCTTTGCTTTCTCGACGATTTGCCGAGCGGGATCATTTGATGCGAGAGAGCTCGAGAAGTACAAATATCAGGTGGATAACTCTACGCTTACTGTACAAATAGCAGGTAGATAATTCGCTTACTGTAGACTGAATCCTGATTTCGATTCAACTAACAAATTCTTATTTAAAAATATCTTTAAATAAGATAACGGGTTGGAGACGTTTGTTTTTCTCAAGCTTCTTGTAGCTTTAAAGTTTTTTCTCAAGCTTCAAACTGATCTCTTTTCCGGTGCCTTCACTTAAAAAAACTTGGAGTCTTTTCTAAAAAATGTCTTTAATATTTTTTTTAAAATTTTTTTTTTTTTTTTTTTTTTTTTTTTTTTTTATTTATTTTTTTTTTTTTTTTTTTTTTTTTTTTTTTTTTTAAACTTTCGAGAGCTATCTTACGATAACTTTCGAAAGCTATCTTAATCTCTAGCTAATCTATTTCGATAACTTTTGTCTACCAATTTTATCCAATCTATCTACTTTTTATAATCTTTCGATCTCCTTAAACTAAAAAATAGATGGATTGGATGAAAAGTAAAGGCAAGATTCCGATCATTTACTCTAAAACTCAAAATTCCTCTTTAGATCGAGCTTGACGACAAATTGGCCGGCTTTCCAAGCAAAGAGGAATACATGAATTTGAGCTTTGAAGATGAGAGTCAAATCGAATCGTTTTTCCTCCAGCAAATCCCATCGGTAAAGCATTTTTTTAGTAATTTTTTGGTAACTTTTGGATAACTTTATAATTCATTAGCTCAATTGGAAACTTTTTCAGGAAACCGATCCACGAAATCATCTCATCACGAACAAAGCCGGTCAAAAGTTCCTTTGTCAATTGCCGGACAGTGAAATGGTTTGGGAATGGAAACATTTTGAAATTAGATTATTTATTATCAAATTTAGGTTAATATCGAAAAAGGGGAGATAAATGACGAGAGTTTACACCCAAAATTCGTAAACGAGATCGTTAGCGTTTCGTTTTTAAGATCAAAATGCATAAAAAAGGTGGGATTTCAGGATTTTAAACGATTTTTTTGATTGTTTATGTTAGAAATGTTGGGTTTTTTTTGAATCTAAAACTTCAAAAACAACTTCATTTTTCCAGCAAAACGGCTGGTGGGATTACGAGTTCTGTCATGGGAAAAAGATCACCCAAAGTCATTCAACGAAAGGAAGTGAGCACGGCATTTGCTATTGTTTTTTTGATTATTGGGTTGGGGAGAATGAGTCGGCGCCGAAAATGAAAAAAATGTGTAAAACTTCAATTCGACTTCGTCAAATAATATGCGTTTGATACTCATAGAATGGTTAACTAATTCTCTACAAAATCACATTTAAAAGAAAATTCAAACAGCGCCTCCGTTCAAGAAAAAGCCATTTTTTCACAAAAACTACAAACTGTGATCTAGAAAAAACCATTGGTGGGATCTTCCTGCAAATTTGGCAACTTAAGTAATTGAATGTGCTCTATCTTTTTTATATAAACACCAAAGAAGGTTTATGTGAAAGAAACTGTTCAAATGATGAGTCGGACTCTTTGCCATTTTAACCAGCTGCGTTTCGAAGTTCATAAACTCCACGAAAGAAAAGCTTTGTGGAATCTCTCAAAAGTGATTTTGTAGAGAAATAGTGGATCCTTTTGATGAAACCAAACGTATGTTTAAAGAAGGCTTTATGTGTGCAAAAAGTCCCTTTAAAGTTTGGCGCCGACTCATTCTCCCCAACCCAATATATTGATTGATTGATTGATTGATTGATTTTTGAGAAAACTGACTCGAGAATTTGAAGAAGTTTCTCTTTAGTTCTCTTTCTCTTTAGTTTCTCTTTAGTTTGTTTTTAGAATCCGACTTTATTCAGTACACTCTTGGCACATTTATGGGTGATCGTCGAATGCCCGACTTCAATCAGTCGACAAAAGACAAGTATGCGTCGATAATTTTTCCAATCTTTCAGCATAGATTTTGTATATAAATAAGTTTTAAGGTTCCTAAGCCAAAAAGGTCAAAAAAACTTGAAAACAAATGAGCCTTTAGACTCCTTTACCTTGAGGAAGAATACCCGATGGGCACTTTTTGTGATGTACTCGGGAAGAAAGTCGCTCGGAAAACCATTGTCCGCGTAAGAGATTCTTTGGCATAAAAAACCCGCTTTGGACTAAAGATTCTTTAATTTTTCTTTTTTCTTTAAGCCTTCCATGGAAAACCCTATCAATCTGCTGAATTTTAGTATGAATGTGATCTAAAACTCTTCACCGAAGAAGCCTACATTCAGAGTATCGTCGAAACGTCCACTTGTCAATATTTGATGATCAGTGAGTCTTACACAAGAGGAAAATGAACAGTACTTGGTCGTTCACTGAGGTATTCAAAACCAAATAACTTTCCAATCTACTCTTTGGCGGAGCCCACAACCGCGCGCCTTTTGGCACACGGGGCAGATGGATAGCGAGAAAGAGACCTTCCAAAGTCGGTTTAATTACCCAAGTTAGAGGTTAGTATTAACCCGGAGACCCGTAGAAAGTGTCTCGAGAAATTTTGGAACGGGTTTCCCTTTTCGGAAGCCCACAAATCTCAACAATTCGATCACTTGTGGTTCTCCGCTCCTTTTTTGAAGATCTAATCTAAAATCAAATCTAAATCCCTCTACAGGTTGATTTTGTAAGTTGTATACTGTAAAGCTCCGAGAATAAAGAAAACAAAGTTGAAAATTCAAAAAGCAATCGATTTGCTTTTCTACGATTTACTTTGTTAATTTGTGCAAAAATGGATTCCCAAGTCATAGGCCGATCCACAAAAATGCAAAAAGCTTACGGCACTCGGGATTCCCAAGCCGTCTCCGATCCCAAGTACTAACCGAGCCCAACGTTGCTTAACTTGGCAGATCGGACGGGATGCCGTGTTCTCAACGTGGTATGGTCGTAAGCGAGTGTGCTGCTGTGAGAGACGGCTGAAATAAAAGGTCGCGAACACGAGAGAGCATCAGCCCTCGCAGAGACGCGAGACGACACGACTGTGTGTACCTTTCGTGTGCGCCGTAGGGAAAAGCGGCATCTCGCACATGGCTAGTCCAGATACCGAGGCAGAGACCCCACTCTTCGGTTTAATTACCCAAGTTTGAGGTTAGCATTAGCCCCGAGACCTTCCAACAGTGTCTCGAAAAAATTTTGGAACGCGTCCCCGCTAGGGGGTGCACAAAGAAACTTAAAGATCGGGAACGGGATGAGGCTTTGATGCTATGATTTCATTTTTATTGTGGTTTATCAAGAAATGTGTCAACTCTTCACTTCACTTCACTTTCAGTGAAACGGTGGCACGGAGACCACACAGGAGATCGTGCACCATATGATAGAGAAAATTCTGAGAAATAGGGGTTCTCCTAGTGCTGAAAATGGATCCCCAGCATCATTCTGTCGCTGTCAAATGAGTGAGATTTGTGAAATTTCGAGTAGTTGGTTCTCCTTTGGAGAATTTCGAAAATTCTAGCCGAAATGGTGATGAAAAGTGAGGTTGGGAAGTGTACTTTGGGTTGAACCAACAAGCGCGTGCTTTCTGGCGCACGAGGCAGATAGATATCTCGAAAGGGACCACATGATTCGGTTTAATTACCCAAGTTTGAGGTTAGTATTAACCGCGAGTCCTGAATAAAGTGTCTCGAGGAAATTTTGGAACGGATTTCCCTTCTTGAGAAATCCACAAATCTGATAGTCAGCAATTCGATCATTTGGAATCATTTTCGAAGCTTTAATCCAAAAGAATTCCTCATTCAACACACAGATCTTATAAGTTGTATACTGTAAAGCTCCGAGAATAAAGAAAATAAATTTTGAAATAAAACTTTAGTTCAAACCGGCTCTTTATGTCATCTTGCTGAATTCATCCCGAGCGATGACCTCGTCGCACCACTTGGGATCAAATGTTCACCCTACATTGATCAAGAAAAGACAAAACAGTTTGCAAAAAGAATTTTCGGAAAGATTACGAGAAAAGTGAAAAAAATTTTGGAATATTTTTAGTAGGAGATTATTTAGAAAGAAGGTGAACGCTTGTTGCCGATTTTGATGGAGAAATTGAAATCCGCCTACAGAAGACTTTACACTTTCAAAAGGACTAGATTGATTAGGTGAGAAAAATTATGAAAAAAAAAAACGAGAATTCAAGAGAGTTCGAATTGAGATCAAAATTAAGTAATACATACAAAATTATGGTAGTTTTTTTTTTAAATTAGCCACTTTTTAATCTCCGATCAATATAGTGCTTAAATTTTAGCGAGGAACGGCGAAATTTTCGACTTCAACGTCGAATCAACTCACAAATCAGAGTATTAAATCGTGAACTTTTGAATGCTCTCTACATGAGTCAGTTTTAAGTCTTAAACTCGTCTTAAACTCAAATTCACTTCTAAAATCTTATCCTAAATCACTTTCAGAAGTGGAAGGTGAAAAGCTCGATGAGAAGAACTTTCGGAAAATCGAATCCCTGACGAAACTCAGCGAGGTCGTTGTGGAAAGGGGTCAGTGGACAGAGAAATCGAATTAGATCAATCAAGTCCAAGTTCCACTTATTCCAATTGTTCCAATTGATAGACTTAATAAAATGAATAGCTTCAGTCGAATTGCCCAATCCCGAAAACCTGAGATCAAATGGGACCCTGAGATCTAAGCCTGAGCCTAAGCCTAAGCCTGCAAGGCCAGCCCGAAAGGGAGCAGGCGATAGTCCTCGCGTGTCGCAGTGGTGGGATCGCGTTCGGAGGTCGGGGGAACGGTGCCGCCCCTCGATGCCAGACCGTAAATTTACACACGGATTACAAAGATTTCTTTTCGTTGAAAAATGAAGGATTTGATCATTTTAGTCCTTCTAGGACCCTTTAGTACAGCCTTTGATTAGTTCAGCCTTTGAAAATTCAAATCCGAACCGGACTTTAGGTTTTGTAAATCAGATGGGCAAATTCGGATTCGACAATCCTAATTCGGACCCCTTCTCTACAAATCTCCAAATTCTATGACATTTATATTATAGAAATATACGAACTGTTCAAGGATCAGGATAAAGGGAACTTCTACTACTACTTGATGGATCGAGAATGGCCAAAAGATGAATATCCGAGAGCGCTCGATTATGTTGATGTGGGTTTTTTTGGTGTTTGGCTAGGGGATACGGTGCTTATTTAAATTGAAACTTGATATAAAAACATTGCTTTATAGGCTTTTTACAATACCTTTTCATTTTCACAGTTCACTTTCCAGTTTCTGAATGGATATCACGTTGAGATCGAGGAATTGGCAGCTCTAGCTGGCACTGGTCAGTTTTCTTTATTTTCAATCATAATCAAAACCGATTTATATAAGTTTCAATTCGTCGATAAGACCTTTCTAGAAGAAGATGCTGAACTGATTCGTTTGTTCTCGAAACTCGATCCAAATCTTTGGGAATGCAATCTGTTTGTCAATGAAGAGCAGGTTAGCTGGTTTCTAAAATTTCAATTTTTTTTTTGTTTGCTTGTTTAGATGTTGGAAAAACTAGTCGAGAATCTGCCGGCTTGGTTCCCAAAAATGAGCGCGAAAGCGATATTTGAGAACGCCGGAAAGGGGGATTTTATGAGAAAGGTTTGGAAATCGAAAGTGTTAAATCTCATCTGAAGTTTTCTAAATGAAATCTAAATGAAATTTTGTCATTCTGAAGTGGAGAAGTTAGTCAATCTTTGAAAGAATCTACTTGGCTTAAGGTAGATTATAGATATTTTGATAAGCAATAGTCATTAGGTCAAATAGGAAATCGATTACGCTAGAAATAGTGACTAATAATCCAGAGTTCGTTTAAAAAAATCACTTTAAGAACAATAGAAGTTTTTTGCCAATAGAAGAACAATAGAATGAATAGAATGAACGCCAATAGAAGAACATTAGAATGAATTGAATGAATTGAATGAATTGAATGAATAGAATGAATAGAATGAATAGAATGAATTGAATGAATTGAATAAACAATAGAAACCAAAGAAGTTTATGATTTTCAAACGATAAAACAAAATTTAAAGCTTAAGAACTTCAGTTAGTCGATCGCTACTACCTATCAATCATCGAGAATGAGGATTTCTATCACGAGGGTTTTAAGTGAGTTGTTAAACTCTCAACAGTTTTCAGTTGTCAAACAAACAAACTCTCAACTCAAAGATTTCAGTTTCCATCTAAATGAGGATCTGGTTGATTCAATTTCACATTATGTTTTGATTGTTTGGGTAAATTGATTGAAAATTAAGATGAAAACTAAAAATGAACACTAAAAAGTTTTAGTTTCAAGAAGATTTATCAAGCAATCGAATTTCGTGGTCGAATTTCTGGATGAAACATTTGAAATTAATGGAAATGATGATGGTAGCAACCCAATATGGGAAAATCATCTACTCGGTAATTGTTGGATAGCTTAAAGTTGTAGGAAAGTTGTAAGAAAAGAAATTTCGAGAATCAAATTTCCTAATTAAGGCAAAACTGAGTGTGGTGATGTAAATGGACGCTTTTAACGCCTGTTTCCTATCAAAAGAGTTCTTGTTTTCTAAAATGTTTAAAAACAAACGTAATTGTGCTTCTAGTTTTTCAATCTATGCGAAATTTAGAAGAAATTCAGAAGAAATTCAGAGAGTTTTGATAAAAACTAAAGGGATCTTATAGGTTTTTCAAAGAGTTTTGTTTTGGATAAGGTTTGGGATAAGGTTTGGATAAGGTTTGGATAACGTTTGGGATAAGGTTTGGATAAGGTTTGGATAAGGTTTGGGATAAGGTTTGGATAAGGTTTGGATAACGTTTGGGATAAGGTTTGGATAGAGTTTTGGATAAGGCTTGGGATAAGGTTTGGATAAGGTTTGGATAAGGTTTGGATAAGGTTTGGATAAGGTTTGGATAGAGTTTTGGATAAGGCTTGGGATAAGGTTTGGATAAGGTTTGGATAAGGTTTGGATAAGGTTTGGATAAGGTTTGGATAGAGTTTTGGATAAGGCTTGGGATAAGGTTTGGATAAGGTTTGGATAATGTTTTGGATAGAGTTTTGGATAAAGCTTTCGATAGAGTTTTGGATAAAGTCTTGGATAAAGCTTTGGATAAAGTTTTGGATAGAGTTTTCGATAAAGTTTTGGATAAAGCTCATCGGTGATTCAATTTTAAAAAACCTACTTATACAAAAGTACTTGATTGTAATAGATAGATAATAGAACATAGTTTACTTTGAAATTTGTGTATTTTAGAGTGAAAACCCAAACGCTGTGGATGTGCTTGGACGTGCTTTCGATCCGGATGAGGTTGAATTGGCTGAGACAATGGATTGGCATGAGTAAGAGAACGGAATAAAAGAATAAAAAAGAGATAAAAGCTATAGATATAAAATAGAGTAAGAGACTAAAGAGACTGTAATGATCAAATAAGTATTTTAGATATTATGAGTACATCGAGGGAACTCTAATGCCCGGGAAGCGACACAGCATTCGCCATGATCAAGAACAGGTTAATTTTTGTAAAAATAAAGCATCATCCTATAATTTTAACTGTTTTGGAAATCAATTTCGATTTTGGAAATCAATTTCAATTTAGAAATAAATTCAGTTAATCAATTATATTGTTTCTTTTATTTTTAAACATTTAGTTACTCATTGCGCGAGCTCAAAATCTTCGCCAAACCATTTTTGAAGAGATTTGGGCACAGAAAAAGGAGGAGATCACGGAAAGCTGGAGGGAAAAAGTTTGTGAATTCAATGGCTACAAATTTAAGAAAGAAAAACAATTTTAAAGTCGATAACAAGAAGTCAGTGATCACAAATAAAATCCAGATAGTATCCGAATCAATCAGAGGCCAGAGCTGGCTAGCTGGATCTAGCTTTGAACTTAAAGACTTTGAATTTAAAATAGGAACTGAATTTGAAGCCTTACAGAGAGAACAGCCTCACAGAGAGCCTCACAGAGAGCAGTTTATTTGCTCAGAAGTTTCCTAAGTTTGAAAAACGGCAAAGACATCAAAGAGGAAAGACAAAGAGAAATTTAGCTGCTATTAGAGCTGCTCGACGAATTGGAAAAATTGAGTGACACAGTTGCTGAAGAGATTGACAAGAGAAGGCTAGCGGAACTCTATCAGAATGAGGACAAAGTGGAATTGGTGAAGATGTTGACGGAGAAAATAATTGAAGGTTCGGGGAAAGCTTCATCAAAAGCTCTTTATCTTCATCAAGTTATCAAGATTTTTCTGGTTTTTAGATGAATTCCAGAAGATCATCGAACTCTATGAAATATTCACTGAAGAAGAGGTGAGTGATTGAAGGGAAAGTTAAAAAACTATCAAAAAAAAAGCATCTCTGCAAGCAATTTTCATCACAATCACCTCAATCTTTCGATAAAAGTTTATAAATCTTTTCAAATCTTTTCAAATTCTTTATTTAAATCATATTTGAATAGTTCTTTTGCTTTAATTTAACAAAATAAGACTTTTTCGATAAAAAAGATAGAAAATTGAAGAGATTGCACATTCCAAGCGGCAGATCCTAATAGCAGATTGACTGATTGACTAATAGGAGGTTGATTGATTGACTAATAGGAGATTGATTGATTGACTAATAGAAGACTGACTGATTGATTAATAGGAGATTGATTGATTGACTAATAGAAGATTGATTGATTGACTAATAGGGGATTGATTGATTGACTAATAGAAGATTGATTGATTGACTAATAGGGGATTGATTGATTGACTAATAGAAGATTGATTGATTGACTAATAGGGGATTGATTGATTGACTAATAGAAGATTGATTGATTGACTAATAGAAGATTGATTGATTGACTAATAGGGGATTGATTGATTGACTAATAGGGGATTGATTGATTGACTAATAGGGGATTGATTGATTGACTAATAGAAGATTGATTGATTGACTAATAGGGGATTGATTGATTGACTAATAGGGGATTGATTGATTGACTAATAGGGGATTGATTGATTGACTAATAGGGGATTGATTGATTGACTAATAGAAGATTGATTGATTGACTAATAGGGGATTGATTGATTGACTAATAGGGGATTGATTGATTGACTAATAGGGGATTGATTGATTGACTAATAGGGGATTGATTGATTGACTAATAGGGGATTGATTGATTGACTAATAGGGGATTGATTGATTGACTAATAGAAGATTGATTGATTGACTAATAGGGGATTGATTGATTGACTAATAGGAGGTTGATTGATTGACTAATAGGGGATTGATTGATTGACTAATAGAAGACTGGCTGGTTGACTAATCCTAATTGACTTCGAATCTTTTCAATAAAATGAAGTCAATAACCTTTTTAATTCAAATATGACTCATTTTCATATCAGCTTTAATCAAAAGATTGAGATGATTTTGATGAAAATTGCCGGCGATGTGATCTATTTTTTTTTCAAATAGTTTTCACGAGTACAGTCGAGGTCAAGTTTTATTCACTTTTTTATTTTTATAGATTATTTTGATTGTTTTCCAATGAAATTTATCTTCGTGAACAAGTTTTTTAAAAAATTACAAGCCTTATAGAGGCGGTCAATAATTTACAGGCATTCGAGTTCGAATTCGTGAAAACTTTTCGCCAAAAACCCTGCAAACGCGAGATATTTGGCTTTAAAGTTTTAGAATTAACTTCTTGGGGCCTGTTTACGAAAATGAAAGAGTGGGGCAAGAGCTCGAACCATAGACAAACAACGATGCTAAATTTAGATTTGAAATCCTTTTTTCATTAGCTCTTGAACTCCAAGAGAGAGCTATGCTCGAATAGGCTTAGGCTTAGGCTTAGGCTTAGGCTTGGACTTAGTGCGAAGGCTAGCGGCTAGCGCCTAGCACTAATTCTATTTGGGTTTGGGCTGAACCCCTATTTTTTGGATTAGGCTTAGGCTTAGGCTTAGGCTCAGGCTTAGGCTTAGGCTTAGGCAAACAATGATGCTAAATTTAGATTTGAAATCCTTTTTTCATTAGCTCTTGAACTCCAAGAGAGAACTATGCTCGAATACCAAGCTTTTGATCTGAATATCGATTTCCCTTTACGTCAAAACTTTTTGCTTTTTTAAATTCTTTAATTACATTCTTTAATTTAATTCATTTTTCCTATGGAACAAGTTTTCCTGCCAGAAACTAAACAGCAAATATAAGAATAACAAAAAGCATGTTCGTAGGAGTAAGCATTATCTAGCTGTAGGAGTAAGCGTTATCTATGATATCATCGACAAACAAGGATGTTAAATTTAGACTTGAAATCCTTTTTTTCATTAGTTCTTGAGAAAAACATTGTTAACTGTGGTTTGAAACGTTTCTGTTTTTGGTTTCGAGTCATTTTCTTGTCAGCCGATTGAATTAAGGAAACAAAAAGAAAGATTAACAGAAAAATTCTTCTCCAAGCTTAGTGAGATAAGAGATTTTACAGAATCTCTGAAAGTAAAAGATAAATATTAATATTCTAATATAAAAACATACTAAAAGTTTTAAAGGAGTAAAGAAAAAAAAAGACTTTTTTTTCAGCTCCAATTTCTTTATGAATTCTTCGTGATTAAAGGAGTCGATGATATGTTGTTGATGATGGAAAAAAGGAAAGCGGCGAAACAAGAGGAGAACTATTGGGGCAATTTTGGAGGATTCGATGATGATGGAGAAGAGGAAGAAGAAGAAGAAGAAGAAGAAGAAGAAGATTAAGAAGACGAAAATAAGGGGAATTCGTGAAAATGCTCAAATTTCACATAAAATCCAAAAACTTTTGCACAAATTTGCCTGCTCATCAATTTCTACGGTGATCTTCTGAAGATCTTTTCTTTTCTAAATATTGGGTTGGTGAATTGAAAACTGCGGGCTATTGTCATATGTGACAGTTTGAGCACTTTCTTCAAAAGAAACCCATTTTGGTGTCAATGGAAAAGTTGTAGAGAATCAAAAATCAAGCATATATCTAAATTTTCAGAACGATTCAAAAACTGGTTTTCCAGAAATGCCAAATTTACGAATTTTCACAAAACTTACATTTTAAGCGAAACTACTAAGTGTATCTTTTTGGAAATTTCGCTATAAGCCTCATTTTTGATTCTCTACAACTTTTCTATTGACACCAAAATGGGTTTCTTTTGAAGAAAGTGCTCAAACCGGGCTGACAGCTGACAACTCCAGTCCTCTATTTCCGAGTCTCACACTTGTCTCACACACAAACCAGAATCCAACTACGAAAGAGGAATCCGCAAATTGCCTGTAAAATGGGCAGAAGTCGTCAATAATAATGGAAATTATTTGGAATGAATTCATGGTTTTATGTTGAATAAATTTTAGTTCAAAGTCCGGCAGTTTTCAATTGACCAACCCAATATTTCTACGATGATCTTATGAAGATCTTTTCTTTTCTAACTACTTTAGGGCAATCTTAGCTGCTTTATCATTTCAGGATATTCTTCTTTTTGCCTTAAAATTTGCAATATCATTGTTGCTTTTGTTTTATTTTAATGAATCAGTTTTTTTACAGAGTTCCCATTTTGTGTCCTATTTATTTTATGAGATTTCTAAATACTTTATAAATTCCACTAGTCAGCGATCAATTTATTGATTTCTCCATAAATGAAAATAAATTGTAGAATTGTAATTGTAATTGTAAATAAAAATTTCTAACTTTATGCTTAAATGCTTAAAACTCGTCTTTTTGTTTTTAAAAAAAACAGTCTTTTTGTTAAACTAGCTTTTTAAAGTGTTACTTTGTTAAAGTTTAAAGTAATAAACTAAAAAGTATGTAGCTAGTTAGACTAAACAGTTTCCAACTCGATCAGTTTTCAATTCAAACAAAAGATCGTCTGTTTTATCTTTGTATATGTCGTAGCCGTTTACGAAATTCAGCCGCTAACGAATGAGGGTATTTCCGGGTATCCAATGAAAAAGTCACCCACATAAAAAGTGTTCATAATACATATATTTTATAATAAATTTTTGAAATTAGCTCATTTGGTTCAGTAGAAAAATTTTTTTGAGCCCCCAAAGTTTAGGTTCAAAAATGCCTATAAAAAATTTTCTACTCAGCCAAAAAACTTGCCTAATAGCTCATTTTGTAGCCAATTTTATGTAGATTCTTAAAGTAAAGCTACATTGAACATTTGTTTTTCAAAGCTAGGAGAAAGAGGGCGAGGAACGACTTCAGTTGAACTCGGTCGCTGTTTTCACATTTGAGAATTGCCCTGAATTTGTTCCTCGCCCTCTTTCTCCTACTTTCAACGAAAAATTGTTTTAGATAGCTTTACTTTAAGAAACTACATCAAATTGGCTACAAAATGAGCTATTAGGCAAGTTTTTTGGCTGAGTAGAAAATTTTTTATAGGCATTTTTGAACCTAAACTTTGGGGGCTCAAAAAAAATTTTCTACTGAACCAAATGAGCTAATTTCAAAAATTTATTATAAAATATATGTATTATGAACACTTTTTATGTGGGTGACTTTTTCATTGGATACCCGGAAATACCCTCATTCGTTAGCGGCTGAATTTCGTAAACGGCTACGACATATATATCGTAGCCGTTCACGCCGTTATGTTTTTTTATCCCATCAATCGGGTTTTTCCCACTAGTTTCAAAAAATCTGGGGGTAGTCAAAACAGCGCCATAATAGAAAACGTTCAAAACAGCGCCGTCAAATTTCTCAAAATCCAAAAAACCAAGCCGGTTCAAGTTTTATACCAAAAAATTCCTTGCGTTCTTGGCTACATGATGGGTGAAACAGTTTTTAAAAAAAAAGTGAATATTTCACAGATAAAAAGAGCACTCAAAATGGGTCTCTAAAGATATTCAGTTAACCAACTCAGTATCACTCGACCCACATTTTGAGTGCTCTTTTTATCTGTGAAATATTCACTTTTTTTAAAAAACTGTTTCACCCATCATGTAGCCAAGAACGCAAGGAATTTTTTGGTATAAAACTTGAACCGGCTTGGTTTTTTGGATTTTGAGAAATTTGACGGCGCTGTTTTGAACGTTTTCTATTATGCCGCTGTTTTGACTGCCCCCCAAAAATCTGGCCCGAAGCGGATTCGAACCCTCGACTCTTCAGACTAGATACGAGCTCGCTAATCACTCGGCCATCTAGCCAGCGAAACGCTCTCTCAATGACCGGGTTTTGTTCCGTTAACCGCGTATTCAGCCGTTAACGAATGATTCGTTAGCGGCTGAATTTCGCAAACGGCTACGACATATACATTTAGAATTTTTGTCTTTACATTACAAAATTTGATTTGAAATTTGAATTCATTACAATATTTTACAGTTTTTTTAAAGGCTTTTAATGCAAAAGTTTCCATTTTCCAACTTTCAAATTTTCATTTGATAAGCTGACGTTGCAGTGCCGGCAATTCACAATTCCATCGTGCTCCAAAAGACGCTCCGATTGTGCTGCGTTTTATGTAACCGGTTAGAAAGCGTAGAAAGCGGTTAGAAATCGAACTTTGTTTACTGAATATTTAAATAAGATTTGAATTAGAGATTTTATTTTCAGATGCAATAAAAATGTTGTTACTCTTTTTGTCACTCTCCATTTTATTTCGATTTTCGTTAGCGGGGAGTTTCGACTCGAAAGAGTTCAAGGATTTTCAATGGCAGGTTGGCAAAAGTTATTCAGTTTATTAAAGAAAATACTTGAAAATCTTATTGTCAAACTTGGGACTTGTTGATCTCATCAACAACTGGAACATTTACATTTTAATGGAAATCCTAAATGCTAATCGCAAAGCTAAATGCAAATTGGCAAAGCTAAAGTAAAGTATTGGCATTATATTAAAAATAAATTCAAAATTTGTAGATAGATCTAAAATTGTAATTCAGATTGAAATTGACCGCAATCCGGCTGGGTTTCCGACGGGGAAAGCCTTGGAGAAGATCAATCTCAACGATGATCAAGAGATCGGCTTGAAGATTATCGGAAAGTTGCCAAAAGTGGGTTGAAGAATTGAATTATTAGCTGTCTTAGCTTTCAAATAAAGTTTGATACTGTATTTTCTCTAATGCACAGCGTTGCCTAAATTCCTCGAAATCTCGAGAACCGCTTATCAGAACCTATCGATTTGGGGTCGGAAAATGTAGCTGACGATGAGATCTAGTCGGGGATTTGAGTGTTGAGCTTCTGCAAAAGCTTAGAAACCGTAAAATAAGCACCAACTCGGCTCGCCGGGATGCACTACTATTAGAGAAAATACGGCACTTTTAGGCTATACCCCCCGCCATTCCGGTTCTATATCCGCCACTCCAAAATTCTAAAAAAAACATACACACCATAGATCATGACATCAAAAAGAAAAGAGGATTGGGTGGATTTTGAAGAGCGATTTGACTCGTCTCACAGTGCACTCGTACAAATTCTCATCGCCGATTTCGTGCCCGATCATAAACTCCAATAGGTAGCTTGAGAGCAAAGCACGGCTCGTTCTTTCTTGGTTTTCCACTTGACCGCACCCCACATACGCTTAGATCATCCGGATTTAGAAAGTTGAATTTGTGGTTGACTTTCTCATGCGAATAACCAACATCCTTGAAAATCGCTGTGTTATAAGCTTTCCACGAGTCACTGTAAATCATCGATCCGGTTGCAATGAATTTCAAAATCTTATGAACGAGCGTCTTGGTACTCCGATCAGCCACCTCAACAAGGAAACATTTGTTTGGGTGGCGGGGGTATAACCGAAAAGTGCCTAAAGTTTATATGTGAAGAAGATTCACAAGTATCGTTAAATTTTAGGAAACCGATCAGGGCTATCTCTTCATCACGAGCAAGAGCGGGCAACGGTTCGCGTGCTCATTACCAGAGAAGCCAGCGCCAAAGGTAAAATAAAATTGTTTTATGTACTATGTGCTTTGTGCTCTAACGGAAACACACCCTATCTAGTGTAAATTTTGGTTTTGAAAGTTGTTGTTGCTGTAAGAGAATCATTGTTTTCTTGGATAGATCTTGAAGAAGTCTATTTTGAAATAGTGAGAGCTAGGTTTTAGCTAAAGAATTCTTAAATTAAACAGAATTAAATGCAAATTTTAGAGATGGATTAAGATTTTCATTAAATTATCAATTGGTTTAACAAATTTTCCAACCTTTCAGGCTCCAATCTCTTACGATTCTCTGAATCCGAGGTATGTGGCTGAAATTGTATCGGCTGCTTTTTACGTCAAAGGATGTCTGGAAAAGGTACCGTAAATACTGTACTATTTATGTAAGTACTATTTATGGAAAAGGTACCGTAAATAGTACCCCACGCCCCCTCGTACAGTCACGTAGTCGCAAAAGTTTTTTAGTATTTCATTTTTTTCAAAGCGCCCGTACTTTGAAAAAATGCGTCTTTGATATCAAAAAATAGCCCTGAATTTCAGCTATTTTTTGATACCTAAGAGCGCATTGTAGCATAAACCAGTGTCGAGAAACACTCGTTCAAAGCTAGACGACGCAACACTCCGCACCGTCATTATGGACGGTGGGGTACGGTATTTACAGTCATTTGTTTAGAAAAACCTTCTAAACTAATAAGTCTCCTATTGAAATTGTGAATCTTTTCCAGGGTACCGGCTGGTGGTCGTACGAGTTTTGCCGCGGAAAGCAGATCACTCAATTCCACTCAACTCCGCAAAGTTTGTTCAAACTTTGAGAGGCTAATTTTTTTTCTAATTTGCCAAATTTGACAAATTAGATAACTTTACAGTAGGTGGCTATTAGAGCTAAAGAATAGAGCCAAAGTACTCTTTTAGAGCCTGGATATGTGGAGTATTCACTGGGAATCGCTACGGGCACTTTCCGAATGCCAGAATTCACTCATTCAACCCAAGATCAGTAAGTTGAAAGAGTAAAGTAGTGAAAGTTTGAAAAAAGAACAGAAATATTGTATTATCAGCTTAATATCTTTATAATATGTCTAAAAACTTATAGATTACTGTATATGGAAGAGGAGTATAGTATGGGGACACTGTGTGATGTCGTTGGCAAGATGGTCCCAAGGAAAACGATTGTTCGCGTCAGATTTATACTTAATTAAACAAAAATTGCATTAAATAATGCCATGAATCAAGAAGAAATTAGAAATAAATAAAATAAAACTCGATTTCCAGTATCAATGCGATCAATCACTGTCAACGAGTGAAGCCTACATTTACAGTATCCGGGAAGTCGCCTCTTGCGACTATTTGATCATTGGTGAGTAGATGGTGATCAAAAATCATTTCAACAACTATTAGCATAAAAAGTGAAGGGCTTAAGAGTCACGAGCCACAATACAGCTACAATACAAACTTTGCGGTTATTCAAATGAAGCGGTAAAAGAAGTTAAATGTATTAGGTTGATGAATTGAAAACTGCCGGACTTTGAACTAAAATTTATTCAACATAAAACCATGAATTCATTCCAAATAATTTCCACTATTATTGACGACTTCTGCCCATTTTACAGGCAATTTGCGGATTCCTCTTTCGTAGTAGGATTTTGGTTTTTGTGTGAGACAAGTGTGAGACTCAAAAATCGAGGACTGGAGATGTCAGCTGTCAGCCCAGTTTGAGCACTTTCTTCAAAAGAAACGCATTTTGATGTCAATGGAAAAGTTGTAGAGAATCAAAAATGAGGCTTATAGCCAAAATTCCAAAAAGATACACTTAGTAGTTTTGCTTAAAATGCAAGTTTTGTGAAAATTCGTAAATTTGGCATTTCTTGAAAACCAGTTTTTGAATCGTTCTGAAAATTTGGATATAAGCTTGATTTTTGATTCTCTACAACTTTTCCATTGACACCAAAATGGGTTTCTTTTGAAGAAAGTGCTCAAACTGTCACATTTGACAATAACCGGCAGTTTTCAATTCACCAGCCCAATAACTATGGATATAAGAGTTGAAAGCACCTCTACTTTTTCTACTTTTTCTTGCCAATTCCTTTATTTCTATATTATGAAAGATGAATCTTTAGTGCGTGTCGGTTCTCTTTGTCGTTTACCCCAATTTGTTCCCCATGTCGACTCTCAGGAACCACTCGACATCAAATGTCATCCATTTGTGAATAAAGAGAAAGCATACTCAATTGCAAAGATTATCAATGAGAAGAAATTGAGAAAGGTTTGTGAAATAAAAGTTAAACATAAGCTTGAGTCATTTTTCTGCTTGTTCAAGAAAAGTATCAGAAGATTTCAATTTTATCATGAAAAAGTTCAAAGGAATGGCTAAAAGCAAAGCATTATTAGTATTTTGTTGCTTGAATATCTTCAATACTACAAAAATAATAGATGTTATTGGATATTCAGCCAAAGTTGGAAGCTAACTCTGTGACAGGAAAGACACTGTTACCTTTCACTCTGTGAAGAGTGACAGTGTCGAATAAGCAAACACCAAATCCCGATTGGTTTTAGCGATTTGGCTTGACAATATTTTGATAGAATAAATAATATAATAATATTATTTATCTTTCTGAACGTATACCAATCGAAGGCCAAATTTAGAAAGAAGGCCGTAAACTGGCCGACGAGGCCGAGTTGCGACTCCGAAGCGTTTATCGACGTGAGCACATTCATAAGAGAACGAAAGTTAACTCGTTGGTTTATTCAATAGCAAAGATTTTTTAACAACAAAGATTTAAAACAATTCAAAATTGATTGAAGATTGTTTAAGAATTAAAATTCAGTAATGAGCGCCGAAATTTCGCTATCAACAAGCGAATCAAGAAAGACATTTCGCATTTCACTGAACAATACCTTATCGCAATGCATTTGGGTAAGTAAAGAACTGGGTTGTGCTTTGGCTTGTGCAAGATCGTTTTTGAATTTGTCTTCTCTTATCGGATCTTCAATTTTCCAGCAAAAGATGGCGAATGGCCGTCAGAGGAGAAACTCGAAGCGTTGCGGTTGATTGGAAAATTGACACAACGACTGGTGAACGCTGGTAATACCTAATTAAGTAATCTAGACAAATACGCTAATTCTTTTTTTTCATTTATTCTTTTTTAGACACTTATGATAATTGGAAAGACATGGATAGAGGGAATTTCTATTTTTGGATCACTGATAAGCATTGGCCGAAAGACGAGTACCCGAGAACCATCAATCATGTCGATGTTCGTTTGAAAATTTGAAGTTAAAGCTGAAGTTAAAGCTGAAGTTAAAGCTGAAGTTAAAGCTGAAGTTAAAGCTGAAGTTAAAGCTGAAGTTAAAGCTGAAGTTAAAGCTGAAGTTAAAGCTGAAGTTAAAGCTGAAAATAAAACTCGAATTCTATTAGGCTTTAGACTTAGACTTTAAAGGTTTACTTTATGGACTCAAAAAGTGGAAACATAACCGTTCTGGCTAGCTAATGCTTGATTTTTTTTTAGCTCTTGAACGCATATCACTCGAGAGTCGAAAAAATGATCAACCATGCGATGACAGGTAAAAGAATTTTGAGGGATTTTTCATTTTACTATCAAAATCCTACTTTTTCAGAGTCGGAAGCGGAAATGATTAAAGAAAAAGCAAAACGAGATCCCAATCAGAGAATCAACAATGTTGTGGTGACAAGAAATCAGGTAAAAGATAAAGATTCTTTAGCAAAAAAAAAGTTTAGATCATTGATTTGTTAATTGGATATCTTCCGGGATGGTTCCCGAAAAAGGTACCAATTCAATTTGAATGGAAAGCCAAGAAAATGAGCTTCAATAAACAGGTGAGTGATGGGGAAAAACAAACAAGCACAAATTTGGGTAAAAAGGCCAAGCAAGTAACAAAAGATAATAATGCAATAGAAATTATGTGTTGTGGTTGTAGGAGTTAAGATTAACCAATTCAATATGAATGGAAAGCCAAGAAAATGAGCTTCAACAAAACGAGTTTCAAAAGGACTTCTTTGTTTTGTTTTTTCGAAAGAATTTGTTCAAGAAGTCAAAAATTCGTTTATCTAATGATTAGCTTTTTAAAAAGTGCTGGGAAAATGCTAATGTAATCAGAAAATTTGATTCTAGAAAAACTTTTAAGACTTTTAACTAAAATGATTGACTAATGTTTCCTAAATGATCTAGGAAATACTATTGCACTTGGGTTGGTGAGTTGAAAACTGCCGGACTACAAAAATTATCAACAAAAACCAAGAATTCATTCAAATAAATTCCAAATTTTTTGGCGACTTCTCCCATTTAACGGGAAATAAGGGGATTCTTCTTTTGTGGGGGGGGATTTGGGGTTGGGGGGGGAGAAAAAAAGGGGGGGGGGGGGGGGGGAGGAAGCCCGGGGGGGGACTTTCAAAAAAAAAAAAAAAAAAAAAAAAAAAAAAAAAAAAAATTAAAAATTTAAAAAATGAGTTTGAATTAAAATAATTTTGTGAAAACCAGTATTTGTAATGTTTCAAGAAAAAGGGAAAAAGAAAGAATTGAAAAAAAAAAAAAAAATTTTTAAAAAAAAAAAGAAAATTTAGAAAAAAAAAAAGGAAAATTGAAAAAAAAAGAAAAAAAAAAAAAAAAAAAAACAAAAGAGGCGGAATATTTGAATTTGAATACAATACTTCTCTGGAATAAGATTTCAGTTGAATTCTAGACAACTTTGTTCCAAAAGTAAAATGCTCTCCTTTTGACAAAACGTTTGCTGAAATGGCGCGCTTGGGAGAACGTTATTGTAGTCAGAATATTGAGGACTGTTATCGTACTTAGGACCGTACCGCACTTAGGACCGTACCGTAATCTAAAAACAGGCATGAATGTATGGAACAAGAACTCCCGAGAATTTTAAAAATGATCACGACAAAATCTTCTTTACCAAACTAGAACTCAAATAATCAAACCTTTCTAGATCGTTGACGCCTACTATCAAGACTATCTCAAGAATATTGGCGACGAGTTGCACAGTGATAGCTACAAGTATGCAAGTAGCGATAACTACAAGTACAAAAAAGATCTTAGCAAGCAACCTATTGAAAGCATTGTCGACGAGATCGTGGTCTATGTGTCGATTCTTGAAGTAATTTTATGAAGAATTAAAATTACACTTTGATTTCAAATCTAGTTGGAAGAGGGAATTGATGAGGACTTGATTATGAACACGTACTGGGAAAGTCAATTAGAGCTCTTGAAAATGTTGATGATCGCTAGACAATTTGGAGAACTGCAATATGAGGTCTGTTGATGATGGAGAATTTAACCCTGGTATCGAGGCCATAATGTTAAATATTAAATCTAAAGGGTTAAGCATTTAGCTTTTAGCTTCAGCATTTAGCTTCATAATCGTATCTTATCACAAACTTTGTCAGTTTTTTAAAGAACTTGAGTTTAGAGTCACCGCCCTGGTCTACTGGACATGAGAGGCCAACCATTCAGCAGTGCTGAGAAAGAGTTGATCAGGAAGAAAAAGATTGTTGAATGGGAATCGTACGTGTTTTGAAGAACATAACTAGCTTTATAGTCTAGCAATAAGATTGGTTAGCTTATAACTGTAGTAACTGTAGCGTCGAAGGTAACTGTAGCTTCGAAGGTAACTGTAGCTTCGAGGGTAACTGTGGCTTCGAAGGTAACTGTGGCTTCGAAGGTAACTGTGGCTTCGAAGGTAACTGTGGCTTCGAAGGTAGCTGTGGCTTCGAAAAATCTTTAATCGGTAAAGTTAATCAAAAACGATGTCTTTAGATACTACGATTATGTGAAAGATGATCCAAAATGGAACTTGAGAGAAGAATTCAATGAGGTAAAATGACAAGAAATACTTGAAAATGTGGAATCGCTTGGAATTCAGCACTTGAAATCGAGAGTTCAAGTCGTGATTGATTTGGCGTTCAACTATCTTTGGGTGGAAAAGAAAGAGGAACTTTTGGAAAAGTGGAGGAAAAAGGTTTGAGAAATCATTTGAAATCACAAATCGATTTTCAGTTCGAACTCTTCGATGATTTGACAACACTGATGAATTCGCTGAAGAACAGTGCGGGCACGGTGGCCGTTCCATTAGCTGGTGGAAATGAGGATGAGATCATTCAACTCCTTTCGAAGGCTGGGCTTGGTGGTAAGTTTTCAGAAAATGTACCCTTGCTGGCATACTAAATCTTAATTCTTCTTCAGCATCCATACATAACTCCCAATCCATACTCCCACTTGTTTTCCTCTCAAACTACGCTTTTTTCAAACTTGTAAATTTTCGAAAACTATCGTGGCTCTAACTTTTATCCAATCTATCCACTTTTGGATAGATTGGATAAAAGTCTATTTGTTTCATAACATGGTTTCATATCCTGTTTCATAAAATGGTTTTTTCATGTTTCATAAAATGGTTTCATTTCCTCAGTGAATCCTCACATAATCCGACAAAAAGTGGCTATATTGAATAAAAGTCAGAAGCAAGATTACAATAGCTTTCTGGAAATTGCATTGTAGCGAAGAAACTGACATGCAGTAAGAATTATATTACGGTAGTTTTCAAAAACTATAGCGCTTAGAAAACGGACTGCTTGAGAGAATCCAAGTAAACGCTATATGAAAATGTTCTTATCACTTTTAAAAAATGAAACTGAATTTAGCCTGAATGAAATTGTTCACCTAATCTATTTTACATTTTCAGAAGTCGATATGAAAGTGCAAATCGTGAGCGTTGACGGGTCGAAGCTTGACACCGAATCGGATGAGGTAAAAAGATTAAAAGAAACGTTCAAAAATTAAACGCAAATCAATTTTCATTTCCAGATTAAAGAAGCGATCAATCAGCTATTAGAAGAAACGATGGACAATCTGAATAATCGAAAGAAAGCCCAACTACGAGAGGAGAACTATTGGCGGGTGATCAATGATCGAGAAAATTAATTTATTTATTGTTTTTCAAAAATTTCCATAATATTATCGGGTCGGGAGGAGTTTTTGCCGTTTTTCAATCAATTTTCTATTTCTATATCCAGGGAGCTTTCTTTTTTTTTCTACGAATCAAACTGTGATCTAGTCAGACTGTGTACATTTCTTAACTTGTTTACTTTTAGATTTATTAAAATATTCCTTGTTAAATAAAGTTTGAATTTCATATGGAACTTTGTGGAAAATTTGCAGGAATTTGCATAAATTTGCATTTAAATTATTACCACAATCTAAAGTCGTTTCCTAAAATGCGCCCAAAGACAGCAAGCACTTACCGTAAATACTGTAATAGTACCCCACCCCCATAGTGACAGTGCGGAGCGTTGCGTAGTATAGCTTTGGACGCGTTTTTCTCGACACTGGTTTATGCTACAGGTGTGACACTGGTGTGAGTGAAATCTGGCATTCGGAATGTGCCCGTAGCGATTCCCAGTGAATACTCGACATATCCAGGCTCTAAAAGAGTACTTTAGCTCTATTCAGAACATTTTTAATAGCCACCTACTGTAAAGTTATCTAATTTGTCAAATTTGGCAAATTAGAAAAAAATTAGCCTCTCAAAATTTGAACAAACTTTGCGGAGTTGAGTGGAATTGAGTGATCTGCTTTCCGCGGCAAAACTCGTACGACCACCAGCCGGTACCCTGGAAAAAATTCACAATTTCAATAGGAGACTTATTAATTTAGAAGATTTTTCCAAAACAAACTACTGTAAATACTGTAATTGTACCCCACCGTCCATAATGACGGTGGGGAGCATTGCGTAGTCTAGCCTTGAACGAGTTTTTCTCGACACTGGTTTATGCTACAATGCGCGCTTAGGTATCAAAAAATAGCTGGAATTTAGAACTATTTTTTGCTACCAAAGGCACATTTTTGAAAGTACGAGCGCTTTGAAAAAAATGAAATACTAAAAAACTTTTGCGACTACGCGACTGTACGAGGGGATGGGGTCCAATTACAGTATTTACGGTACTTTTTTCATTTAATGAAAGTTTAGGTGTTTTGTTCTTGAATTCCTTGCACCCGACGTTTTTATATACCGTAGTACCTGTAATAGTAGCGCCACCCATAATGACGTACAGTCGCGTAGTCGCTAAAGTAAATAATTTTTAGAACGCGCCCAGATTTTTCCAAAATAAACTGTTAGTATCAAAAAATTCTTCGCTTCAAGCGCTATCTTTTGATATCTAAGCACACATTTTTCGTCGAAGCAGCGCGGAGAACCTAGCGTCATAAAATGTCCTGTTAGACTACGCGACTGTACAGGGAGGCGCCACGATCTCAGGTATTACGGTAGTAGATTAGTGTGACAAGCTTCCACCCTGCTTAAGCTGCGCCCAAATTATCGTAGTCTTCCCATTTGGCTGCCGGCCACTTGTACTCTCTAGTTGTTGTGTGCGCTCTATTGTTGTTTTCTTTTGAAATTCCTGACGCAATATCATCTAGGCTTTTGAAATAAACCTTTGAAACTTTTTTAAGCTTTTCTTCATTTTTATTCGTTTCAACTATTCATTCTCTTCGTAATTTTTATATCTTTAGATTCGAATCTCAAAAACATCGAAATGCTTTCACGATTCGCGATCAACTTTCAACCTGTGCGACTTTTCTCTCAATCAGTGGCTCGAGTAAGTTTTTTAAGAGTAATATTATTTGGCTTAAAACCAGCAGTAATTAAAAGTGGGATGGTTGATTGATAAATGCACATTAAGCACGACTATTTTGCAACTTTTTGCATGTATGAGCTTTACATTCTCGATTCTTACTATAGCATCAGATTCTAGTAGTTTTATGTGCAAATATTAGTAAATTAATAGTGCCTTTTTGATTCGCGTCTTTCATTTTAGAATGCCCGCTTTGGTGGACAAGGACCCAGTGGCTTCGGTAGTCGCTTCTCCGAACAAACGGTAATTCATCAAGCCTTTTAAGGTAATTTTTTTCTCCAGGGCTTTGGTTTTCGAGCACGCACAGGCCCGACATTAAAAGAACGCTTACTTGGACCGACTACAGGAAAACGTATTTTTTAAAATCTAAAACCCTAAATTTACTCTTTTAGCTTACATTTATGGAACTTATGCTTTGATCGGAGCGTCGGCTCTTGGAATTGGATCTCTCGCTTATTATGGGCTCGGTTTAAGCAGTGAGCGCTCGATTTTGCAGAACAGCACGTGAGTTTTTGTCAAGTACTTTTAAAATGTTTGTGGCTTCAGAGCTCTTATAATTCGGTTTTTCTTTAGCATGTGGCCGCAATACGTGAAAGACCGCCTCCATTCCACTTACGGATATTTGGCAGCCGGTTTGGGTCTTACAGCAGCAAGTGGAATGGCCGCTTCACGAAGTGCACTCATAATGCGACTCACCGCTTCCGGAAGTATTCTTGTAAGTTAGAAAATTTTGCTTTCCTTCAGTTTTTAGTGCCTGTATTCAAGTTTATAAACACTTCACATTTTGTTTAGGGCATGTTTGCGACACTGGCGGTGATTATTGGCACGGGAGCCGTTGTGAGGTCGATCCCATACGAGAACACTGTTGCTAAACACGTCGCCTGGGCCGTTCACTGTGGAGCTCTCGGAGCTGTAAGTTTTCAGAGTGAACTTTGTATTAAAAGAACCCTGTCCCTGAATTGCTTCAAAATTGAAAAAACAAACTAAATTTTATTTGTTCAGGTACTTGCTCCAATGGTTTTCCTTGGTGGACCTGTTTTGATGCGAGCTGCTTGGTACACAGCAGGCATTGTCGCTGGTGGGTTTTCCTTGGCTTATAATTGACTAAAGGAGATACTAGATAACGGTGATATTTTAGGACTTTCCGCAACAGCAATTTGTGCGCCTTCCGACAAGTATTTGATGATGGCGGGACCGTTGGCTATGGGACTTGGAGTGGTTTTTGTCTCGAACATCGGATGTTTCTTTTTCCCTCCACATACCGCGCTTGGAGCTGGTAAGGTTTTCAAGTAAAATCGTTTCTAATATATGCATATGAATTTTATCATGGATTACTTAATAATGGATCTAACGTATTTGGTTTAGGACTCGCCTCAATTGTTGTTTATGGTGGATTGATTCTCTTCTCTGCTTTCTTACTCTTTAACACGCAAAGGTTAGTCGGGATTTTTGCCTACAAATTCATGTATCTATCCAGATTGGTTAAACAAGCCGAGCTTCATCCTCATCAATCACAATACTACGGAGAACAGCAACACTATGGAGGCCAAATGGAGTACGGGGCTTTTGATCCAATTAACGCGTAAGTTTTTTGGTGTCGACAATAAAAGAATATTCTGGACATTGGTTCTAGGTTCATGATTAGCTTTAGTTTTTATAGAGAATTTGATGAGGATGGAAATTTAAAACATTTCGTTTATGTTATTCAATTTATGCTTTAGGCAACTCTCAATCTACATGAATGTATTGAACATTTTCATGCGAATGGCGATGATCTTGAGTGGTTTTGGTGGACAACGTCGGAAGTAAAAGCATCATTGTGAATTGAACCCACTTTGTCTAAAATGAGACAAATCTCTTGAATGTCTAATTATCACTCGATAAATTTAGTTTTTCCGTAAGGGATTTGTAATAATTTTTCGTTTTACTTTTTTGACCAACTAAGCTCTCATTCTCATTCGGTATACCGGTTGCTATTATTTTTAGTCTGTACATAAATAAAAGCTATAGTTTTTCAATGTTTTATCAATACATATAAAGAATAGACCCGTAAAAAGAGTAAAGCTTTGAAAGTTGAGGTTTTCTCCCTGAATCACAATTATTTTGAGACTAGAAAAGTAGAGCAACGGAGAAAGATTTTCTCTGTTCTCTACTACTAAAAGCATAGTGTCGAAGTAAGAATCGATACTTTTCTGAGAACAAAATGTAAATGAAAATGTCCAATGAAGAGTTGACAAGGACCTGAAATGGACTATATAAGCCGGGCTTGTTGTTGCACTTACCGCAAAATTATTGGCGGTCACCAGCGATCCCCAACTGCTTTTATCGACGCCTAGATTCTCCAAAATGTCGCAAACGAAAGATAAAGAGTGACAAGTTAGAAATTGCATCACCACCGCTACCTGAAAGGCTTTTGAAGTAAAGCGCTAAATTTTTATTACATTTTTAGTTTCATGAAGTGATTGCCTGTCTTTGAAATTTGATTTCCAAAATGCAAGTTACTCCATTACTTATGCTGTAACTGTAAGGGTATAGATCCTTGTATGGAACTACAGTAGTAAAGCTATTCAGTTGACAGAATAGAGCCCAATTTTCTGTTTAAGACAATACCGTAATTATTCTAATATGTAATCATTGATAATCTGCCTAGATCGAGAGATCTTTTACCAGCATTATCGAAGTCTTCCGTTCTTTTCGTTTCTCTCTTCTATACAAATCGTCATTTTCATCACCGTGCTGAAATAATGCAAAATTGTACCCGGAAGCTGCAATACTTTGGCTACAAAGCTACAATATTCTCGCTACAATACTTTGTGTTCACTTTTTATTCTTCCCTTGAGAGTTGCAAACAAAGTATAAAAGAAAGCTTCTAGGAAAAGTTTGCTTCTAAGAAAAGTTTGAAAAGTTAGACATTTAATTGTTTCTGCAAATGATATTTTGGGATTGCAAAAATTCGATTATAGAGTTTGTTTCTATAAATTTTGTAAAGTTCAATTGAAATTTGTTTAACTTTATGTAAAGGTGGATAATTTGGAAAACTAGTGAGTCTCTAGTGACTCTAGTGACTCTAGTGACTCTAGTGACTCTAGTGACTCTAGTGACTCTAGTGACTCTAGTGAGTTCGTAGAGTTACGGTGGTTTTAAAAAAATTATCGATCTTTTGGAGAAAAGGATCCAACTCACTCTACCATATGAGCTTTTCGACTTTTTCGCACCGCGTGCAGCACTTTGCAGTTGAAGCCGATCAGTAAAGTGAATGGGATGATGAACATAATCAGAGTTAATGTCCAACCATGGAAAATCTAAATGTTCTCTTTGAAGAATGTACAATAGAGTTTTTTAAAAGGTGGGTAATTTGGAAAACTATCGTGATCTCTCCTCCAGAGTCTGTTCTACTTAATTTAGTCCTCTACTTAATCCTCCTCTACTTAATTTTGAGAGGAGAATCAAGGAAATCGAACAAAATCTGAAGAAAAGATGATAGCTTTACAAATTAGTCACATTTTAGATCACTTATAAGCGATATTCAGTAAAAGATTTACCAAAATATACGTGGGATTCTCGCGTAGCTTTGTGGGCCACAATTGAGGCAGTTTGTAGTCGATGTTGATCTGATAGCAGACATTCGCAACTTCTACCTTAGGGAAAAGTTCTCGATTTCTCTTAAATCTCTGAATGTTTACCTCTAAAAATCTTGTGATATTGAAAAGAACGGAGAAAATCGCGATCGAGACGATTAATTTGATGATTCGCTCTGAAAATTCTCTCCTTGTTTTTTCAGGTTTTGAAAACTACCATAACCTTGTCTCTATTTTTGCTCTATTTCTCTATTTTTTTGTATTTTTTGCTATCCTTTGTAAACGAGTTTAGAATTAAAATAAAATACCGTAAATACTGTAATAGTACCCCACCCCCATAATGACGGTGCGGAGCGTTGCGTAGTCTGGCTTTGGACGCGTTTTTCTCGACACTGGTTTATGCTACAATGCGCGCAAAGGTATCAAAAAATAGCCCTGAATTTCAGCTATTTTTTGATACCAAAGACGCATTTTTTGAAAGTACGGGCTTTGAAGTAGGGCGCTTTGAAGCTTTTGCGACTACGCGACTGTACGAGGGGGGTACTATTACAGTATTTACGGTAGATAGATTTAAAAGAAATTTAAGTCAAGATTACGATAGCTTTCAAGAGGTAAAATGTTTTAGAAAACGCTCTCTTTAATCTTTGACATTTGTTTTGGAGTAACTCGATGGACTAACCCGCTGGCAATAACTGTGATGCGATGTACGGATGACAGACGCCAATGTATCGATGAACCGATGCACCAAGCATCAAGTAAACACTGTAAATAGAAATCCGAAACCTCAAAGATCACCTTTTTACTCGTACCTCAACGTTTTCCCTGTTGTCATCAGGCCTAACATCATTGGATCCATCATGTAACTAGAAATTTTTTTCATTTTGAAAGCTTTTTTTGAAGATTTACTTGAATGGGTAAAGTTGAAAATTGAGCTTTTCACATCTACTGTCAATTTTCGCATCTAATCAATGTCCATCGCTTGATTACCTCCAATAAGCCGCTCGCCAAAACATCAGATATTCGCCTAATCTCGGCAGTGTCCACACGCAAAACGCTGAGCAGAGAATGATCGTGTCGGAGATGGAAATAGCGGCAAGGAACCAGTTGATCGTTGATGATAACATGATTCTGAAATAGATTTTAAAGCTTGAGGAGACGTTTAAGCCGTTTAAACCTGTTTGTGAAGATCCGAATGCTCATCAAATTCGCGCAGATTCCAAAGGTGATGATCGGGAGAGCGATGAGGCCTGCAAGACGCTCAACTGTCAACAATTTTTTGTTAGCTCAACAGAATAGCCTAGCCTAGCTAAGGGGAGCCAAGTAAAGCCTAGCTAAGCTAAGCCTAGCCTAGCCAAGCCTAGCTAAACCAGACCTAGCCAACCCAAGCCTGACCTCGAAGTGGCTTGGCTTGGCTTAGACTAGAATTTTGTAAGCAAAGCCAAGAGGCTTGGCTTTCACTTGGCCTGGCCTTGGTTTAGCCTGACCTAGAAAACTCGGGTTCAGTCCAGTCTGATTCCAGCTTCACTCCAGCCTTGATTATCGATTGATTTTATTTAGCTACAGACAAACCTTTCAAGGATTTTCACATGAGTCTTTCCTTTCAAATATTGCGTTTTTGAAACATGTCAATTTTCGGAGCTACACTAAGCTTATAACTAGCTTTCTTGGGGGAAAATACGATTTCTTGCTCGATCTATTCGTGAACTCTCGCAGAGATTAGATAGATTGGACAGGTAGTTTTCGAAATTTGGCATGTTTTAGGGAAACGCTTTAGTTGAGAGGGCTTTAATTTAAAGATAGTCAATTCAAGAAGCAAGAAATCGTATTTTCCCTAATCGTACCCAAAGCTTTGCCTAAATTTCTCGAAATCTCGAGAACCGCTTATAAAATCTTTTAATTTTGGAAAAAAAAAAAAAAAAAAAATTAAAAGATTTAATTTTTATTTTTTTTGAAAAAAATTAAAAAAAAAAAAAAAAAAATGGGGAAAAAAAAAAAAAAAAAAAAAAAAAAAAAAAAAAAAAAAAAAAAAAAAAAAAAAAAAAAAAAAAAAAATTAAATTAATTTTTTAAAAAAAAAAAAAAAAAAAAATTTATTTTTTTAAAATTAAAAAATTTAAAAAAAAAAAAAAACATCCATGTGGGGTCGGAAAATGTAGCTGACGATGAGATCTTGCGGGGGATTAGAGTGTTGAGCTTCTGTGAAAGCTTAGAACCCGTAAAATCGTCACCAACTCGGCTCGGCTCGGAAAATATGGTCTTAGAACATAGCACGATAGAACTATCAAGCAAATAAGCATTATCGTCTCCCTCAAACTCACCCAGTACCACTCGATCACCCACATCATAGTACCCGTAAAGAAAATTGCAATCACATGAGGAATTCGACGGATGGCAAGCGGAACGCTCCTCCATCTTTATCAAAAATTTCAAGCAGATTAGAGAATAACAAAAAAATATAGCTATCGAAAAGAAAAGAAAAGAACTTAAAGATGTATTGAGCTTTTTTTAGATGGGAGTTTCGTGGAAGTTAGCCACTTTTCAGCAGTTGGAGAAAAAGAGGAAGATGCGTGAAAAGAAAAGAGGAGGGGAGAAGTCCATCTTTCACTTTGTCTCCACCCTTTTCCGAAAAAAACATTCGTCTAAAATGGTCACTAGGAAAAGGAAAAAAGGCGGATAAACGTCGTAAATCTAATATTTGACTAAAGAGGGCAAAACACTTTGAGTTTCGACTTTGAAAATGCAGGAACCGCTGCAGGAGCCTAGCTGCAGGAACCTAGCTGCAGGAACCGTGGGAGATAATATTTTTTATTGAAACGGTGACCAAGTGCACTAGAAAAGGTGCGTTTCGATTTTTGAGTACAAACTACAGTCTAAGGAATACTTTCGTAAAATCCTGTGGGTCTTGGATGCCTTGTCACATCACACTACAGTCTTGATATATTCTTTTCGGTTCTTTTGAAATCGGTGAATATGATTCGAATTTTGCTAGCTAATAGCTAATAGACAGAGATTTACACTAGTATGACAAATAATGCTAACAGTGAATACCAGCAACTAAAATGTTATTCCAAGTGATCAAAAAAAACAAAACTAGTGATGAAATAAAGAAAAAACGACATGATTACGATATTTCTCATAAGTTGAAACGTTTTAGAAAGGCTTAGGCTCATTTGAGGCTCATTTGGCTCATTGAAAGGCTCATTTGGGTCATTGAAAGGCTCATTTGGATCATTTGAGGCTCATTTGGATCATTTGAGGCTCATTTGGATCATTGAAAGGCTCATTTGGCTCATTTGAGGCTCATTTGGATCATTTGAGGCTCATTTGGATCATTTGAGGCTCATTTGGATCATTTGAGGCTCATTTGGATCATTGAAAGGCTCATTTGGCTCATTTGAGGCTCATTTGGATCATTTGAGGCTCATTTGGATCATTGAAAGGCTCATTTGGCTCATTTGAGGCTCATTTGGATCATTTGAGGCTCATTTGGATCATTTGAGGCTCATTTGGATCATTGAAAGGCTCATTTGGCTCATTTGAGGCTCATTTGGATCATTTGAGGCTCATTTGGATCATTTGAGGCTCATTTGGATCATTTGAGGCTCATTTGGATCATTGAAAGGCTCATTTGGCTCATTTGAGGCTCATTTGGATCATTTGAGGCTCATTTGGATCATTTGAGGCTCATTTGGATCATTGAAAGGCTCATTTGGCTCATTTGAGGCTCATTTGGATCATTTGAGGCTCATTTGGATCATTTGAGGCTCATTTGGATCATTGAAAGGCTCATTTGGCTCATTGAAAGGCTCATTTGAAATGCTTTAGTGGAAAATCAATCTAAATATCAAATTTCATTAAATAAGAAATTATATAACAAAAAAACAAACAAAAACAATAGATATATAACAATTCTAGTTAACCAATTTACATTAAAACTCTTAAAGCATATAAAAATAGAGTGTACTTTCAAAAAAACTCGTGATCTCTTCTCTTCAAATACTCGAAACATAAACAAAAGCCTTTACAGGGCTTTCGAGACTTTCATTTGTTTCAAAATACACTAATTCCCATGGATTATCGGGTAGACAATGAAAAAGCAAGTATTCAAAGCAAGAAATAAAGCGTTGATCTCAAAAAAGGTCAGGTTTCTCTAGTGGCATGTGTAAAGATAAAACTGACGAGTTTGAGAAAAGCAAGAAAATGAAAGAAAATGAAAGAAAATGAAAGAAAATGAAAGAAGCATTTTTTTGGCCAAAGGAGAAAGATGAAGAAAAGTGAAAAGACGGGAGTCGGCTGATAGTTTGTCCCTGGGGGGGAATGTGAGAAAAGTGAGGGAGGGAATGGAAAGGAGAAAGAACATAAAACTCACACAAATTGCCCAGCTTTTGAGGAGAGGATTCGGGAGGTGTTTTTGTGAGTTGCACTTGATATCTTGATAAGAGGAAAGAATTGAAAATGGGTATAAAAAGAAAGAAAAGATTTGCTATTGGGTAAAAAGCGAGCATACTGCGATTTTGTTTTGTTTTACATTTTGTTTTGTTTATTTTGTTTTACATTTTCTTTTCTTACTTTCAAGACGAAACTCCAATCTTTTTTTGACCGTTTTTGGTAGTTCGGAGTAGACTTGACTATCAAGATCTCGCTTAATTTCTGATCATCTCGACTCATCGATATCGAGGTGATATTAGATTTGTCTTCCTTTTCTGTCTAGATATTTTATATCAGAGACGTGGGGAAAATTCTAACCCGAACTTAATTCCACCGTCGTTTTCTCAGCCGTCTCTTCACTGATTGCTTTGAAATTTTGTTTACAAGCAGAGCAGATTATATCAGCAGATATTATTAGACTTTTTCTTAGGTCTAAAGGAAAAGAAAGCACCTTATAATTCTAAGATTAAGATTTGGGTAAAATGACAATGACAAAAACGTTTCTGGCCTGGCTTCTGGCCTGGCTTCTGGCCTGGCTTCTGGCCTGGCTTCTGGCCTGGCTTCTGGCCTGGCTTCTGGCTTGGTTTTACTGTAATCATAGTCCGCTAAATCACTTAAATTTACAGTTTAATCTACATGCTTTACTAGATCACAATTGGAACATTACCTGGACATTGTCTTTGTCATAGCTTATTATTATGTCATAGCTTATTATTATGTAATAGCTCATTATTATGTCATAGTTTATTAGTGAATGAAATTCTTCTTTTTTTTAATTAAAACATTAATCCAATCAGAAATTTTTATTCCAAAGTCCAGCTATCACTTTTGCCTTTTTTGAGCGTCTCATAGACTTTCCATTTCAATTTCTTTCCTTGAAGATGTTGTTGAATTTTGAAATTCTTCACTTAAAAATGAATGAAACTGAAAGAAGGTGAAAGAAGGTGAAAGAAATTGAAATTGCTTTCAAGCAATTTGCTCGGCTCTCAAATGGGGTTCTCGATTAATCCCCGATTCTTAAACGATCGACAAATTTTTCCTCTCTGATCCCATTTGTGCCAAAAGATTGATGACATTCCTGGGACACCTGTTCACTTTTTGTGTAAGTAGAGAGGAAATATTTAGAAATCAAATTTGGCAAGAGTTTTCTAAGTAATCATTGGGTTTCTGTGAGGGAAGTAAGTGCAAAAGCTGTGCTAAGTAATCCAATTGTTAACTAAATACTTATTTATTCAGTTTTCAAGTGAAAAGATAATGTCGATTTTGTTGACGATTTGAGAAAAGAAAGAGGGAGTGGGACAAATGCTATCTTTTTTTTTGCGCACCCGGACATTTGCGCACCTTTTTTTCCGCACCTTGCCCATTAGCGCACCTTTTTTCGCGTTTTAAAAAAGCTCTAAAAAGCTAATATTAATATTAACCAATTTCTATTCCAAAAGTTGTTTTTCTAGGTAATTTTAGGGCGTAGAATCGAAATTTTGACATATCAGAGCTTGTGGAACCAATTTGAAAGACCAATTTGAAAGACAAAACGGCTAGATCAAATTACAGAAAATTGTCGATTTTTCTCTTTGGATCACTCCGTCCGTTTGTTTTCACAAGCTTTGATATGTCAAAATTTCGATGTCAAAAAAGGTGCGCTAATGGGCAAGGTGTGGAAAAAAGGTGCGCAAATGCCCGGGTGCGCAAAAAAAAAGGTCGCATTTGTCCCACTCGAAGAAAGAAGAAAAGAATGAGAAAAGATGTAAAAAGCTACGATCGTTTTTCGAATTATTCATCTTTTAGAAAGCGCATTACTTAAAAAACTATTGTTGTCTACATTCGTTTTCTCCTTGTCGATTTCGTTGACGATTTAAGATTTGATGCAAGTGTTGAAATGGATCATTTTCCAGAGGAGCTCGACGATTTCGTTCCTCTCTCCAAACTGCTGATCGTGTGATGCGTAAAAGGCGATGATGAAGATGCTAAACGCTTTTTTTAAAAACACTGATACTTTCTATAGAACATTTCTACGCTTACTTCTATAGAACATCAAAAAATACCTTATCTCCCATACAATCCTCGCAAAGATCGTAGTCGACACAAGAGACACATTTGTATCTGGAAATTTCGTTGCTACAATTTTGTTTTGTATTAAAAAGTGATGGACCTGTAGCCACGAATTCTGAGATCACATCCATCACATGTGTAACTCGTTAAATCGTCATCAAATGACAATTTCACCAAATCCTCCTCATGTTCATGCTGGAAAAGTTGTGCTAAGTAATCCAACTGCAAATGAACACTACGCTAGCTATTGATTACGGTAATTTATAGCTAGCGTAGTGTTCTTTTGTAGTAAATACAGTAGGCTATAAATTACCGTAATCAATAGCCCGTAACCCGTTAGTAGATATTACAGTAACTTCGACACAAAAGGCAAAACAAAAGTTTGGATCGAATCCGAGCAGAGAAAGAGGCGTTCGTTTTCTATGCAAGCGCTTTATCCACTAGACCATCAAGCGATGGTTGGGATCCTTGAGAGAATCTTTATAAAGACATCCCTGCTTGGCTCCTCGGCTTTCACCGTAAAACTTTATTCGGCATCGGAACCTGGGAGATCTCACCTTGTATTCTAACCTACTACCACTCGACCATCCCTGCAATTTTTCTGTCTCTGAAAAGTCCGGTTTTAAGGTCTGTGTTTTTTGAAACTCCTTACAAAAATTGACGCGTATAACTTTTGACAGAGTGCCTTTTAGCAAAAACGGAAAGCAAATTCGGAATCAGCTTCAAATTCTGCGTCGAATGGTCAATGGCTTATCTCATTTGACCACATCCTACTATTCCCTTGTAAGCACTTTCTACCGCAGTTATAACGATTAATGTCATTAGTGGGTTACGGAAAGCCAGGGCATGCTTTAAGAGCACCAAAGTTCGGAAAGTTTGCAAGTTTTCAAAATCGGATTTGAATCCTATTTGAAGTATTCCTTTAAGGTACCGTAACCCGTAGCCACCTAATAAATGCTACAACCTTCTGACGTAAAAAGCAAAACAAAAGTTTTGCCATAAAAGAAACCGAACTCCAGGAAACAGTGCCGCGCCCATTCTGTATGCAAGCGCTTTACCCACTAGCAATGTTAGAGACCCGTGAGAGAATCGTTATAAAGGTATTCCTTATAAAGGTATTCCCTATCCACAAACCACAAACCTCGTGTTTACAATCTCGACAAAGATCAACGAAGCGACAAGATTTACAACTGAAATTATCTCTTTTTTTTTTCCGTTTCCTCACTTTTTCAAACCAAAACCCGATTCCCTGAATTTCTTCTCGACAAATAGAACATTTCTGTGACTCTCCCTCGAATTCACGTCTTCTCATCTCAGTTGGATCCTAAAATTCTTAAGAATTGAGATTTAAAACTGGATAATCTTTTAGTAGAAATATTTTGTGAAAAGGTTTTTTAAAAGGTTTTTTAAAAAAGCTTTTCAACGACCTCTCTCCTCTTCGTCTCTCTTTTCCTTTCCTTTTTCCATTCTTTCAACGTTTCATTCGTTTGTTCCATTGATCTAAATGAGCAATTTTCAGATTTTCAATCGTGGTTGCTATTTATGTAAATTGAGAATTTATTATCGATCATTAACAAGGAAATCTTTAGAATCAAGAAACGTTGAGAGTGTCGTTGCAGCTTCGTCGAGAAGATACTCCAACTCTTGCACTCGGATATCGCGACTTTGGACGACCGTTTGTAAATCTTCAATCTCAATTCCTAAAATACGAAATGTCAATGATATTAAGAGCCAACCTAAAAGACACAATATTTTAGAAAGCTACCGTAATCAACTAGCCAGATTAGATCAGCTCAATTTTCAAAGCTTAATTGAGCCTTGTGATTGAGCTCGTTGAAATTGGGCTGATTGAAATTGGGCCGAATGGAAACTGGCCGTTTGATTACGGTAATGGACATCGTTGTTTAGACATCGTATAACTCTAAATCGAATCCCCAACTCACTTTGCCTTTCCACCAAATCTTCATATTTTTTCTTGATCTTCAGCAGCTCTTCCCCGGCCTCTCTCGCCTGTTCATCACTTCTCTCTCGTGCCATTTCCAGTTCACGTTGAAATTCCGAATTTTGAATCTCATGTCGGCGTTTCATCGTGAAATCTTTACTCACTAACTGAAAAAAAAAAGTTGATATGCTTAATATCTAAAATAGCACCTCAAGCGCTTCTTCTAAATCAGTTTCTTTGACTTGTTGTCGGAGAGCATCTACAAGTGTTTCGCCGAGCATTTTCAGATACGAGCCTTTAAAGCGCTCAAAATGATTGTCGAATATCGTTTTTGCTTGTTCTTTGTTTAATTTAGTCCATGTCGAGATTTCCTGCTCATCTTGTGGAGTTTCCTGAAATTTTTGGTTCAGTATTGAATGAGCTTTGCAGAAAAATTACTGTAAGAAAGGAAAGAATGGCAAAGAAAGATTTCTGGAGAGGGGATCTCTTGCTGATCTCTTGCTTGATCTTTTGCTTTCCTGGCAAATGCTCTAACCACTGAGCTATCGGGTAACTTCTTTCCAGAGAAGAAAGAGAAAATACAACGGGGAAGAGAAAGGAAAAGTTTTAGAGTTTTCACGTTAAAAGTTTGCCGTGAAAAAGTGAAATTTTTCAGATTGAAATTCTCATACAAGACTACGATCTGTTACGATCCCTGGCTACTGTCTTTTCTAAAGCTACCGTAACCAACCACCAGTTTCCATTCAATTAATCCAATATTAGTCATGGGCACTATAAACGTAAACTACAAACGCTTCTAACTTGCTTCAAATCTGTCAGATTGATATGATCTATAGCTCAAAAAATAGAGAATCTCAAGAGCTTTCGAATCGACTAAAGCACACTCAAAAATAACAAGGACTTTCTTTATCTAAGGACTTGGACAGAGTCTTTAGCTCGTCAGAAGTCCGACTCGGGCTTGGCTTACTGACCAATAGTCTCTATTTGCCTGACTTCTGGCTTGGTACGGTTTGTTTTGATCAAGGACCAGAAGCTAGACTAAGATGGGTCTGATCCTGAAGTGATTCAGCCCAAAATGACTTTAAAATAGTCATCGGCACTATAAACTACAAAAATGACAACCTGTTACACTACAAACGCTTCTAACTTGCTTCAAATCTACCGGATTGACATGATCTATAGCTCAAAAAATAGAGAATCTCAAGAGCTTTCGAATCGACTAAAGCACACTCAAAAATATCAATGCTAAAGAAAGTTATAGTTGTTTTTAGTCGAAGCTATCAAGTAAAGCTAAAAGTCTAAAATCGGTGTCTTTTAGAAAACGTCTAAACGAACCTCCATCAGCAAGGCATCATAAAATACAGCCACATCACTGCAAGCTTCAACCAATTCTTCCCTCAACAATCTCTGCTCGTTTTCTTTCGATTTCTTCTCGTGAATCTCCTCGATCTTCTTGATCAATCGATTTCTCCAGTATTCAATGAGTGGTTGGGCATCGATCGAGCTGCTTTCTGAAAAGAAATAAAATTAGTATTTAAGAAAATTAGCAATCTTGTAGGAATAGTGTTTTTTTCAAACTCACTTTGAGCAAAAAGGTGAAATGTCGTGACTTGAGCATCTTTGTGCTTCTGCCACAGCACCTCTCGCTTTACAGCTTTATGAAAATTGCTCAACAATGAGTTTCCCTGAAAATTAGGTACTTCTAGAAATTGAGTTTTTATTTTCTTAGAGAATTTCGAAACTTCTAGTTGAATTGGCGATAAAATGGGAGGCGTACTTTGGCGGAGCGCACAATCGCGCGCCTTCTGGCACACGGGGCAGATAGATAGGGAGAAAGAGACCGGTGAATTCGGTTTATTAATTACCCAAGTTAGGGGTTAGTATTAACCCCAAGAGCCACTTAAGGTGTCTCGAGAAATTTTGGAAGGATCTCCCTTTTGGGAAGTCCACAAGTCCCAGTAATTTTACTAATCCAATTTTTTTAGAAAATTTACTTTTATGGCATTTTTGTAGAATTCGAGACATTTTGTATAAGTTTCCTCCAACTTCTCTCGATTGTACGAGTCAGCGTAGCGCTCTTGAAAGTTCTCACAACGTATCTGAACAATTTAGTAATTCTTTCAACTTCTGAAGGTCAAGGGTTTGATCGAATGGGAAAATGAGACTCTACAATATTTTTAAGAATATTGTTAGACGTTAGTTAGACGAAACCTACCGCAAGCGTTTGTTGAAAATCCTGAAAAGCCGTGTGCTTATCTTTTAGAGAGCCAATACATGAAACTGATTGATAGATCTGAAAATATCTTTTAGCTATCTGTACCATTTGTTTACGAAAGAGAAAAAAGGGAATCGAAAAACGTTTAGCACATTTTCATACCTCAACAGCCGATTCTTGTGCTTTAAGTAGCACTTGTTTAACCGATGAAGGATACAAACTCTTTGTTCCCATCGTCTCCTCGTTCATCTGCAAAAACGTATGTTTCTACGCGACATTATTAAGATTTTTTTATAATTTTGAACAAAGTATCTATCTTCAAATTCTTCAAAAAACTTAATAATTGTTTCTTTTGCAGAAACTAAAAAAATTGCCAGCATGGGGATTTGAAACCGGCGTGAAAAATCGTAGGCTAGAACACTAGGCTAGCACACTAGGCTAGCACACTAGGCTAGCACACTAGGCTAGCACAATATCCACTGCCCTACAAGCTCACGTCCGGAAACGAAAAAAACAAGCTTTTCTATGCCTTTCAACAACTTTTAAAGCTTAAAAACATCGGTGAATTGGGGTCAATTTTTGACGCCAAATATCTGACGTTACAGGTCTCCGCTGGAAAAACTAAAACCAGATTCAGAATCAGCGTAAAGAGTTCTATCAGGTATACTAGGTTATATTTTGAAAGACCACTTTGAGCTGGTGCTTTTCCCTCCTCAAATCCCTGGTACACGTTGGAAGGCACTATTCTTTTGTGTACTAGAAAGTACGCGTTTACAGTTTTTTTTGAGCATAAAGTACTCTCAGAGATATAGAATTTCACTTGCACGCTCCTTGTGCTCAAATTGACAACAACCCTCATCTAGCGCACTCAATTTTGACACCAAAGTAATGGTACAAGAAATACAAAGAATCCAGCGCACCAGAAAGAATGTGTTTCCAGTTTTGAGCACAAAGCACATATAAAACCTTATCAAAAATGCAATTGAACGCCTCGAATCCCCGCTTTTTCGCCATTTCGAAGCTCCACAAAGCGGTCGCTTCAAACGCTGAGCTGATCCCTTTCAAGTCCAGTGAAGTGACATGCTTTGATATTTGCTGAAATATTCAACACTTATAATTAGTATAGTACAGTTTTCAGCTGCTAACACAGCTGAAAACTGCTGCGGGTCTCACGTAAATTTATAATCCTTTTTGTCGTGCCAATCGATAAACAGATTGTCTTCATAAGCAGAAATCTTTTCGGCTAACGCCGCTTTTCCTGCTGGACAGTTGGGGTTGAATAGTTGGGGCTAGTCGGCGATCCATTTATTTCATTCATCCAGGTTTTTAGACTCATTCCTATAGTTAGCTCATCCCAAATATGGGAATCCCCAGGGAAAACCGGAGGTCTAGAACCAGTCTAGAACACTCTCCCCCATCACCCAGATCAAAGATTTGTGGCTGGGGACCATGAAACCCTAAAAAGGGCTATTGGATTCAATTTTTCATAGTTTATTCGAGAACCTCATTGTAGGCAATGTTGCGCATAATGTTATTTGGACAGACGGACGTCTCTTCCCCTTTTATATATAGTAGAAAACTATAGAAATTGGACTTTCCAACAGTTAAAATCCATTTTGAAAAGAAAAGCAAAACTAATTTTCTCGGAGAGAGGACCAAACCCACGACCGTCTTTCCCACTCTCGTTTGAGAGACGCGCTCACTAACCACTCGGCCATCTGCGCAACATTGGGCTCGGCTAGTTTTGCAGTTTTTGGACTTTAAAAAAATTGGTTTTATGAATTTTCTTGATTTTTTTGGCCGGCGGAATCAACATAAAATTTTCTATCGAACAACAAAAAATGCATCTCGAAATTCGATCCGAACGTTTAGAAAAGTGCCTGTGACAGACAGACAGACAGACCGACGTCTCTTCTGCTTTATATATAATAGATTATCTTAGTCTTACCTGAACATAGCTTCTGAACGATTCCCCATTCAATATTGTGCCGGTCACCTTTTTTGGTTGTAAATTTTTCACAACATGATTCGCCCAATCGTTCAAATGACGAAGAAATTCCTCTGCGCATTCTAAAATTGAAGAATATTGGTAAAATATTTCATTTGTTCAACTTTCTCACCGCCAGCTTTGATCTCTTTTTGCGCCTTTTCAACAGCCGGCCCTGGATAGGGTAACATGAAGGCTTCAAGCTGAAAATTTTAAGCATTTTTCATTTTCCCAAATCTGAGAAACCACGAAATCTTATCAACTACTGAAAATTTGAACCTTTTCCACAGCATTCTCAAGATCTTTGACTTTGCCGGCAAGCTCGGCTGATTTCCTTGATACTATCTAAAAGTAACTTTGAAATCAGTAACTTTGAAATTCGATTATCGGTTTTAACGATTCAGACATGCTTTGTCTTTGGCACAATGCTCTTCTAAAGGCTTCTAAACTAAAGAGCAATTGATGGCTTCTAAACTAAACAGCAATTGCTTTGCAAAGTGGTATGTGGACCGAAGAAGGAATAAGCGTCAGAAATGGTGCTTCATTTCTGAGCTTAGATGCATCACAAAGAAAAAGTCTTGTAAAGGTTTTTGGCTTGTTCGAACGGTTGTTTAACGGTTTTTGGCAGTATGATTGCATCCTTGTGGTCATTTAAGTGCCTACAATATATTTCGTTACCTTTAAATCATCGAGGTACTCTTTCCCGCCTTCAATCCCAAACTCTTCAAAAGCCTTCATGTATTGCTCTGTCTTCACGCGGTCTCTCATCAGAAATAAAAAATTCTAAACAGAGGAAGTTGCTCTCCAAATTCAATTTGTATTACTTGTCCAATTTTCCCTTGATCTTTTCTAGCGAGAGACAAAAATGTGGCGATATGGCTGAAATCCTGAGCGTCGATGATATGCTTGTTGTTTTGAATCTAAAATTTTTGCATTAGGCTTTGATTTCTTGTTTCAATATTGTAATTAATATCAAATAAGCAGTGCAAAATAGAAACTACTGCTATAAATTGACTACTGTATTTTCTCTAATAGTAGTGCACCCAAAGCTTTGCCTAAATTCCTTGAAATCTCGAGAACCGCTTATCAGAACCTATCGATGTGGGGTCGGAAAATGTAGCTGACGATGAGATCTAGTCGGGGATTAGAGCGTTGAGCTTCTGTGAAAGCTTGGAAACTGTAAAATAGACATCAACTCGGCTCGGCATGGTGCACTACTATTAGAGAGGATATAGTATTCACCCTTTTTTTGCTCCCAGGGGTTTTCGGCTATGGAGAATCTGACTTTTGGGTCTATTTTTAAAAAAGGGCGGGGCTTCAGTAGCAAATTCTTAGCTCAACTAACGTTAAGAACTCGATCAATCAATAAAACTTGGGTTTTGTTTAGTCAGAACGCAACTTTCGGTTCATTGCCTTCCCCAATTCCCACTTCACTTAAATTCCTCGAAATCTCGAGAACCACTTATCAGAACCTATCGATGTGGGGTCGGAAAATGTAGCTGACGATGAGATCTAGTGGGGGATTTGAGTGTTGAGCTTCTGGGAAAACTTTGGAAGCCGTAAATAGTCATCAACTCCGCTCGCCGGGGTGCACTACTATTAGAGAAAATAGGGTAATTCAAAAATTCGTAACAACTTTCAAAAACCACCGTACTCCACTAGTTTTCATTCAATTTATCTCTTGAATGAAATACTTTTCTATCTTTCGATATCCATTTTTGGGACATCTTTTATTTTAGAGAATTTACCATGAATGATGAGAGTAGAAGAGTGATCAAGGAGATTTTCATCGAGAGATCGAGTCCACTCTCGAGATCGAACGTGCCTTGAGTGTCAAATAGAAGCACTGCTATCTGAAAACAGAATAGAAAAACTCCAAAATTGAGTATTCAGAAAGTTTACAATTCGAATTTTCACGATTTTCACCTCTTCTCCATTCTCATCAATTGTCGAAAAGACCTCAGTCCAGACTTGAATGCCTTTTGTGTGCGCCGAGAAGCCGCTCTCGAATGCGATCCCGTTTTCACCACTAAACATGTCAAAGTTAGAACACAAATTGCAACTTTTCTTAGTAAATCAACTTAAAGAAACCAATTTTTAGCACTTTTAGCAAAATAAGCAGACAAGAGCCCCGTTTGTAAACCGAGTGATGATCTTGAATTATTGGTTTACTTACAATTTCACTACAGTTGAAATACCGTATTCTTTGTTTAAGGATTTCTCCAAAAGCCGACTTAATAGTTTATTGAAGTTCAGCTGTTGTTCACTCAACTTACCCAATGATTTCCTCTTTTTCATATGATTTCGATTCTCGGTTCCTCAGCCTCCTCAACAGAGCGTTGCATGCGAACGACTTTCCACCGCGGAATTTTCCGGTTATCGCAATGATTGCCACCTGAAATTTTTATGGGAAATTGGTTCGGGACAATTTTGAAGATTTTGAACTAAATCTAAGCCTCAACTGGATAATACAAAATGCTTTTAAATTCAAGTTTGAAAACTTTCAATAGTGAACTTACCCGTCGATTTCCAATTTTCTTGCAAAGTCGATCCAAAAGCTCTCCATTCAGCAACGATCTCTCCGAATCATCATAAGAAATTAGGGATTCCATTTCAAATTTAAGTTAGAAATAAAGAAAATGAATTTCACAACTGCCGCTTATCGCAAAAATTTCTTTGCAGTTTTCTCGCGTTAATTTTATTGCACAAGAAAAGATACGCGTTTGTTGTCTGTGAAAACCCATTCAGTGACTGGGAAAAGAAATAGATAAGTTGGTTTATTGATTGGGACATCAAAGAATTGCTCTGACAAATAAAAATTGATTTCTAGTGAGCGAAAACGTTTAACTGGGGGTGGGACAAATGCGACCTTTTTTTTGCGCACCTGGACATTTGCGCACCTTTTTTTTGCTGGAAAAGGCCTTAGGCAAGGCCGTAGAGCTTCGAAAATATTTCGAAAATTTTTCCATATAAGGGAATCGTATGCGTAGATTCCGAATTTCGACAAATCGGACCTCGCTGACACGTCAAATTTGGGCTAAAAGGCAAAAACTGCGGAAAAGCGTTAAGTTGCGTAGTTTTTGCCTTTTAGCCCAAATTTGACGTGTCAGCGAGGTCTGATTTGTCGAAATTCAGAATCTACGCATACGATTCCCTTATGGAAATATTTTTGAAGCTCTACCGCCATTCCTAAGGCCTTTTCCAGCAAAAAAAAGGTGCGCAAATATCCAGGTGCGTAAAAAAAAAAAAAGGTGGCATTTGTCCCACCCCCTTTAACTGACTCTTTGATTCATATACACTAGTGCCCGCAGAATGAAAGACCAATCGCGGTCTTTTTTACTGGAAATTTGCTATTCATAGTTTAACAACTAATTTATTTAAAACAAAAACGTAAAACGACAACGAAATCAGCCAAAACGCTTGCAAAAAGTACCTTAACAACCCAAAAAATAGGATTTTAACGATCCATGAAAACACTGATAACTGATAAAAACAGATAAAAACAATCAACAAGCAACAATTTGAAGTTTTAAGAGAAAGATTGAAAACCTTTTAATATTTTGTCGTTCGTCTCATTCCTCTTCCTCCCACCAAAGCGCTCTTTGTACCCTTTCTTGCCGCCACAGCGCGATCATCATCCTCTGAATCCGAATCCTAAATGTACTTTTGTTGGAATTTAGACAAAAAACTTACCCCGTCATCATTTGCCTTTGGCCGAAAGACGTAATCAGTATTGCTGATCTTTGGCACACTAGCACGCTGGTAGCCTTTCTAAAATTGCAAAGATATAAAGATGCCTATCAACTTTGTCTTTGTTTTTATAAACCAAGACAAGTGCACTTTTAGAGAAAATTTAATAAACGAACCGAAGTGCTAAGTTGAGTGCCGAAACCGCTGCGTTGAGACATCTTCGAAGAGCCAGGCGAATCATCCGAATCCATTGATCTACGTCGCCTAAAGTTAGATTGAAATTCATGCTTACCAAGGATCAAAGCCATAGCTTAAGACTAACAGCAAAATCTCTTACTTCCTCTTTATGGCCGAATGATCGTAGTCGAGGCGTCGTCGTTCCTCCCTAGTCATTGCACCAAACTCGGCGGGAAGCTGAACATTTCAAATTAGATTAAAATTGCTATCTTACCTTGAAAATCTGCCGTGACCAGTCTTGAATGAGTTTCTGTGCCAGCATCTTATTCTCACGCGTCTCAGCTGGGTGCTTTGCAAGAAACCTCACCGCTTTGCCCAACTTCGAGTAACGAATGGTATCCTAGAAAAATAGTACAGTAAAAACAGACTCTGGAATATTTCTTATGTTCTGAATGCGAGAAGCTTTTCTAGAATAAATTCCAAAATTTACCTGTTCCAATCTGAATGGCTCCAGCAGTTTCAAAATTGTTGTTCGAATACCCAACGACGGAAGACTTTGATCGGGTAGAGGCTTCAACCACTCAGCAAGCGCCGTCATGAAGCCATTATCCACGAGTACCTCCATCATATGCACCTAAAGATAACTTATTAGAAAACTTTCTAGAATAAAGTGTACACTTTGAATGTCTCTAACAATAAAGTGCTTAATTACAAAGGAGAAGTTTCTTTCTTTCATGGTAAAATAACTAAAACTCAAAAAGCACCTTCAATAAAAAGTCCTTGACAACTGGCAGCAGCTTGAGTTTCTGAAAAGCCGGGTACTTCCTGGTGTTTGACATGCAATCAGCCTAAACAAAATAAAAATTGGCTGAAATAATCCAGCAATTACTTCTTATGATACTAAAATGCAGCTATTAAACAAAAACTATCTAAAACTTGTGGTTCAAAGTTTCGGTCGTGATAGGCTATCCAGAGTTTGCTATACTCCAAAAGCAAAACCTCAGCAGCTTGTTTCATTGCTTGAACCAAATGGTGTACTTGTCCGTCGCTATCGTTGATCAAATCGCATGTGTCCCTTTTGTGCTTGCGCTTTCGAGCCCGTTCCTCTTTCTTTCTATCCATCATCAAGTCGAAATCCCAAATGCAGCTATAAATGGGAATAAATAATAACAATCGTGCTTAATTATATCCTTCACAAGCTAGTGGTGCAACGTTTGGGATTTCACATTGTTCATTATTTTTGCTTCCATTTGGGCGTAATTTTATGTTAGGGACTTTTATGGATCATTGTAAAAAGTTTATTATGCGTACGAATAATAACGAAACAAATATGTGCAACAACAAAACTAGCATTTAACCATCAATCCGTTTGCTTGCAGCGAACCATCCCTTTACTCGCTTCCACAAAGCACCCGCACAGCCAGTGAAACTTTTCCTCATCTTATTAAATGGATCAAACTCACTAGACTGAGATTTTACGCTTTACTTTACTCAATAAATACAGGGCAGTTTATATTTATATAAAACAACCGTACTTCTTTTCAGTAGAAGCGCCTAGCCGATTCGAACCGGTTTCCACATCCTCTTCGCACGCTCGGTCGTCAAGCTAAACAAAAGTTTTTAATAGCTTTCAATTAAAAAGCAGCTAACCTCATCGCGAATGAAGTCCCTATCTTCCTGCTCGTCGTCGTACGACACAACCTAAAAAGAAGACTAAGAATACTTCTAGAAACTATACCTCATTATTGTTTTCCCCGCCAACTGAACTTGGACTGTCACCAGCAAACGAAGAGGGCACAAGTGATTCATCGTCCGAAACGCGTTCCTTAAAGAAGAATTTGCTTCACTGGTGATAGAATGTTACCAGAATCTCAATTCTACAAACTAGAATTTAAAGAAAAAATGCAAAAATTTACCCCATCCTCTTTATCACGTTGCTCAGCCAAAATGCGCGTCAAGTTCAACTTCAATGATCCGGTTTTCGGGGTCGGCTCCCAAAAAAATAACAATTAGAAGATAAATTAAAACGTTACGCGTTCTGAAAACTAACCTGAACAGGCGGCCAATCATTTGGCAGCGGATCCAACTCAAAGGTCTCGTCCGGAGAATTGATGAAGGCTTCCAGGATATCCATATCTAAAGAAGAAAATGTCAATAAATGATAATCTTTGCGGAAAACAGCGTAATGTATGAAAGCAGGCTAAAACAGCTCAGAAGCTTTAACTTGCTGGTAATTCTAAGGGTTTAGTCATTCTAAACCCTTAGAATACTTAGATAGGTATTAGGTGAGCTTATAACGCTGGAAGACTCTGGGAGCACAGAAAATATCTAAAATAGCGACGTAGGACAAAATCCTTGAAGTTTTAAAAAAGGAAGTGCTGGTTTCAGCCGCCAAAACGATACGAATTTCAGCTACTTAGCTGAATATGTTTTCTCTTCAATAAACAGTAACTATTTAGGCTTTTCCGTTTTCTGTAACAATTTTTCTCTCCTTCCCACGATGTTTCTGATCGAATATGATGTAATTTCTTGAAAGCACCATCAAACAAACTAATCAATTGTCGCAATATTTATTAAATCAAGTTTGCAAAAAATCTCAAAACACCAACAAAAATTAACGATTTATTGTACAATTTTATTCTCGTTTCTTCGAATAAACTTCTCAGCGACTTTTGCGTAATCGTCCTTGAAAGCGCTCAGTTTCTCGCTCTTTTCGATTACTTTGTTCTAAAGCAAAAGATTAATGATTCCAAAGAACTCAAGAACTTACGCGAAGGAAGAGCTCAAGTAGGCAGACGTGGAGGAAGCAATATTGTGTGGCACTTTGAACCGACTAAACAAAAAGTGTTCAATTTAAACCGTAATATTGTTTACCTTTTCTCGCTGAGTTCGCATCTCTTTCACCACATCTGCCATGGGTTGAGCCGGATTGTTTGCAATCAACGAGCAAGCATAGTCGATTCCTAAAGTATCAAGCGTTAATGGAAACAAAGAGATAATAATCATCAAGTTAACGCACCTACAAATGTTGGGGTTCGTCCAACGCCAGCTGAACAATGTACAATTATTGGCTTGTCGTCCTTTTGTTGTTTCTACAAGCAAATATGAATGGAACCCGAAATATAGATTTACCTTCAGATATTGATAGAGCGTCACAACATCATCCGCCTTCGGTGGCGCTAGTTGATCCGGCCAATCGAGCATGTAGATATGAAAGACGATTAGCGGCTTGAAGACGTTCGTAATACTATATCATTCTTGTAAAAATCGGTAGGATTTTAACAAATTACCTCTTGAGTTGAAGCTCCGTGATTCGAATGGACGCTGGGAGTCCGGCCGAGTCTCCCTTTCCCAGGTTCTTGATTTGTATTGTTCCGTGAGTCTCCACACCGCTCGTGTTTGCAGGGAAGTACTGACAGCATTTCGGGATACCATCCAAAGTAAAATAGTAACAAAAGATTTCAAATCGATACTTTCAACGTCTTGACAAAGTTGTATGACAAAACGGCTTCTTTCTTGCAGCACCATCCACCTAGATAAAAAAGATATCTCATTAAACTCTAATACATCTACTTGGCTCTTGTCGAGTTTCCGGGTATTTTGATTATCTCTGAACAAAGCTATATGCCACCAAAGCGTGGCAACTCATTCAAAATACCCGGAAAACCGAGAAGAGCTGTCTACTTACCAAAAGTCTTCAATCGTGTTCTTGAGGGGAGCCTGTGTGCAGATGTACTCGATTGATGTATTTGGCACTTTCACTCGATTTGCGTGGATGTAGTCATTTGGCCGATTCTTCAGCTTGATCCTTGTTGCCTCCATCAACGGTATGTTTGCGTACCTAAAATACTCTAATTTCTAGTCTAGCAAAGCAAGAAAACCGCATTTTCGCGTTATTCGGATTATCTGGCGATCTCATGTCTTTCTTCCCCTTCAGCGTATTCGCGAACTCCTTGTAGACTTGCTTCACCGACTAAAACATTTTGTTATCAGTAACTAAATTGAAAGTCACCGAGTTGTTGACAAGTTTCATTGCCCATGTGCGCTGATTGTCGCGTTCACCAACCACTTCTCTTGTATTGCTTGAACTTGAGGGTTTCACATTGGTTTTCCTAAGAGTTCACATTAATAAATTGACTAGTCGCAATCAAAACTTACATTCCACTCGTAGTTTGAACAGGAATTCTGGTGTTTCCACTGGTTTGCACACTTTTTGGAAGTCTCTTCGATTTCGTGTGCACTTCACATGACTGCGGGACTCTTGACTCCGGTGCTTTCGTTTCCTCAGTCTAAAAAAGAAAAATTATGGTTGTTGGCAAAACAACCAAAAATAAGACACTGCAAAACAACTGCAAAAATGATACCTTCACCATGACCGGGTGAACGCTTTTCTCCGCCTTTGGAGCATCATGTTTGTTGGCCTTCGTTTTTCCACCACAAAGAATTACTAAATTTAAAAGTTAAGCACAACTATTAAATGTTTTAAAGCAAAAAATAGGATCAGAAAGATCACAAAACAAGTAGCTACATAAAGAAACTCACAGCAAAAAATCGAGACCGTCATTAAGAAGAATATGATTTGAAGCATTGATGATATGAAAATGATGAGAAATGAAAAGTTTGACGATCCACTTCGTTTTACATTACGCTTAAATGCAAATTTAATGCAAATTTAGTGTTAAAAAAAGTCAGAAACCTCGCGCTTCTTCATTTTCACCACGATAAGCCCCATCCATTTTAAAACTGCGCTCTTGTTTTGCTTAGACATGTAAGTCTTTAGAAAACTTATCTAAAACTGATCCACGTGACCCCAGCGTTTTTGTTGTTTTCTAGTGTTTTAAGCTTTTCATATAGACTTTACTATATTCTATTTTCTAGCAGTCGATCTCCACTCAACTTTCGACTACAACGATGGGCGACAAATCGGCGTACATGGGAGCCGGCGGCTACTATCAACAGAGTGGACATACCTATTCGACTGCCAAGCAAGAAGACGGATACGATTTTTTGTTCAAAGGTTTGTTGCATTTTCTTGATTAGAAGAGAAGATTCTCTGCGTATTTCTATAGATTTGGCAACTTTTTAAATTTAGTTGTGCTCATCGGAGATTCGGGTGTCGGAAAATCCAACTTACTTGCGCGCTTCACTCGTAACGAATTCAACCTTGAGTCAAAGTCAACGATTGGAGTCGAATTTGCTACTCGAAGTATTCAGGTATGCTTTCGTTTGTTTGTGTTTAATAAAACGGTTGTTAGGTTGAGGGGAAAACGGTGAAGGCGCAAATTTGGGACACAGCCGGCCAGGAGCGTTATCGCGCAATCACATCCGCCTACTATCGAGGAGCAGTTGGCGCTCTTCTTGTTTACGATATTGGTAAGTCAATGATTTTGGAGCGTTAACAATTTTTGAGTTTAGCGAAGCACGCGACTTACGAAAATGTCGAGCGATGGGTAAAAGAACTACGCGAGCATGCCGATCAGAACATCGTCATCATGCTTGTCGGAAACAAGAGTGACTTGCGACATCTACGAGCTGTACCGACTGACGAGGCAAAGATGTATGCCGAACGGAGTCAACTTTCATTCATCGGTATGTTTGACTTTGCTTTTAAATGCTTACGCACTTGCTTTAGAAACGTCAGCTTTGGATAGCACCAACGTCGAGACAGCTTGCACAAACATTTTGACGGAAATTTACAGATCTGCTTCGAATAGGGTATGTTTAGAAGTTTTTTTTTTTGATTAAAACTATTTTTATTTTTAGCATGTTGGAGACGACCGTGCAAATGTTTCAATCGCAAGAGGTGTTGATCTTGTCGGTCGTTCCAACGAGCAACAGAACAAGAAATGCTGCTCTTAAGGACTACCATCGAAAAGTTAAACCGATATCAAAATTTCTCTTTGTGATTTTTAAGGGTTATTCGCTTTACCTGATTTCGTGTATAATTTTTGCTCTCAATCTCTTGTCAATGCAACTACAGGATTGTATATTTAAGCGTAGCATTGCTGTTTATTCTTTTATTTCAATTTTGTACTTGTGAATAAATTTTTACAAATTAAAAATCCTTTCTACCGTGCACCTTCGTTACCATACGCTGGCTCTGGCTTACACTTGTTACTTCTATCGTCATTTTACTCGTCATTTGAGAGTGCTTCAAAGATTTGAGTGATTTAGCCATTCATGGAGTTGACGATTGAAATTGCTCTGCTTTGCCCATACTTCACAAGTTATTAAAGTTTTTGTAGAATGAAGAAAACCTCTGTACTGATCGAAATGCTAAGATTTTTGAAACATTCAGTACAAAATTCGTATATTTAGGTTCTTCAGAAATTCGAATGATTTAGCTAACAAATTGAATTTCCACAATTTTTATGCTTTGCGAAACTTGTAAACCCTCTAGATATTATAAATTTTTAGAATACCTTCCATTTTGCGTTTTTGCTTTGCACTTTTTGAAAATTTTCTTGTTAACACTTGATGTACTTTTGATTTAGGTTTGAAGATGACGAATCCAAAGGGTACACGACGCGGAACGCGCTACATGTTCGCGAAGGCTTTCAAGAAGCATGGAATTGAGCACCTTTCTACCTACTACAAAATCTACAAACGAGGAGACATCGTTGACGTCTTGGGAAATGGTGCCTTCCAAAAGGGAATGCCACACAAAGTCTACCATGGAAAGACGGGACGCGTCTTCAATGTCACCAGGCATGCAGTTGGAGTGATCGTTAACAAACGAGTGCGTGGAAACATCATCCCGAAGCGGATCAACGTCCGAATCGAGCATGTGAGGCAATCACGATGCCGCCTCGACTTCCTCAAGCGTGTCAACGAGAACGATCAAGCAAGGAAAGAGGCCAAGGTTGCCAAGAAGCCCGTTCCCGTTTTGAAGCGCCTCCCCAAAGGACCACGTCCGGCTCATACCGTCAAAGTCGCTGATTGCACAGAAACTCTTGCGCCTCTTCGTTATGAGATCATTGCTTAAATATTGTTCCTAATTGATATTTCTCGTGCATTTCATTTGATTTGTTATCTATGATGTTAAAAATAAATTCCAGGTAGCAACCGTCTATCCAAGATTCATTAACGTGGATTAGCCGGAAATGTTTCCTGCTACGAAATGGTAACTCGCTATTTATTTTCAGTAATATCTTTTAATTAGCCCAAAATGAGCATATTGAACTACGTGAAGCGCCATAGTTGCAGGCTGGACTATGAAGAAAGATTGTAAGTGACCTTGAGTTGTAAAGGTTAAGGTTAAGGTTTTAATTTTTAATTCGTGCAACATATTTCTTATTTTAGGCGGAAAAGCAAGCGCGTGCCGGCTATGAGCGATCACAAAAGGCCAGGGAATTGAGAGAAATCACAAGTTGTACAAGAAGAAACGCTACTCCGAGAAGGTTACTCAGTTAATTAGGATTTAAATTATGGTTTTATTTAGGTTGAAATGCGGAAACTACTGAAGCAACATGAAGAAAAGGAACAAAAGGGAGCCCAAGAACGTCCCGATCAAGGAACCGTTCCCGCGTATTTCCTCGATCGACAACAGCAAACCACTGGAACTGTGCTCTCCAATATGATCAAACAAGAGAGAAAAGAAAAAGCGGTTGGTACTCGTCGTTAACTTAAAGCGGTTAGATTAAGTTCAAATTTACAGCAACTTTTAGGGCAAATATCAAATTCTAATTCCAAAAGTACATGCGGTTTCTGATGTGGAAGCATTCAAAGTTGCCAAGACCGGAAAGACTCGCAGGAAGGGCTGGAAAGAATGGCCACAAAAGTATATTACATTTGCCATTGTTGCTAATGAAATATTTTAAGCCTACTTATGTTGGCGAATCATTCGCTCGGAAGCCTGCCAAATTTAAACGATGCATCCGACCCATAGGACTCCGTTCACGAAAGCAAATGTAACACACCCGGAATTGCAAACGACGTTTTGTTTGCCGATTGTCGCAGTAAAAAAGAATCCATCTTCACAGATGTAAACAATTCTAAGAGTGATCGCGAAAGAAACCGTCATTTAAGTAACTTGTGTTTATCAACGCTAATACGAATGTTTAGGTCAACGTGTCACAAACTTTGAATGGTCACTCAAGGTGGAAAAGTCGCCTGGGGAAAATATGCGCAGATTTTACTGCTGATTTCACGTCTTTTCTAATTTTTATTTTGGGTTACGAACAATTCCGAAAATGACGGATGCATCAATGAACGTACTCTTGCTTTGAACTTATCATGGCTGCTTATTTGTTTGTTGTGTGAGGATTCGCAGTCCTTCAAATACGGTGAAAATTGTTGTCTATTACTTGTTGACCTATAAATAAACGTTATTGTTTTAGTTTAAAGTGTAATAAATAAAATGAAAACAAATTATTGGGGGTAACAGTCGTTGTTAGTGATTGAACTTTGCTGTGCGTCGAAACCGTCAAGAGGTTTGACAATTTGCTTTCGATCTAGAAGTTCACTATTCTTGTACACTGAATACCGTATTCGATAAGGAAAAGTTGATTAGGTTCTGAATATTTTGAATGCATCTAGAAAGTTGTTATTTCTGGCTTCTTCCATATTACTGTATGGACAGTATGAAGACTCGAAACTAATAGCTTCCCAGTCTTCTGACAAGTTTTCAACATAGATACAGAATGCCGACTTTTGTAGAAATGAATCAAAAAGAGACGGTTCATCACCATCATCACTAGCTCACTTTCAACAGCCACTCCCAGCGTTCCTCATCCTGGTTTTGGTGGTGGTTCAAAGTATAGTTTCGATAAGCAGGTCTACTTAAAACTAACTTTTCCAACTGGAGTCCTCTCAAGTAATAGTGCAAAATAGAAAACAACCTTGACTGAATATTTTTAAGAAAATAAGAACAAATTACTTTGTTTTAAAAATATTCAGCCAAGTGCTGTTTCCTATTTTGCACTATTACTTGAAAGGAACACATTCTATTTCCAACAAAAACCAACTTTTCGATAGCTTTTTTTTTGTATTCATAGCTTTGCCCTAGCTTCAACTATCTGAAAATTTTTGAAAAGATGATAATTTGACTTTAATTTCCATAGATATTAGAAAGTTTTACGGCTTTAACTACCGTAAATATTCTAATAGAAGAGACTCTTCTATTAAAATATTTACGGTAGTTGTCCAGAAGCTCGGTTGTACCTAACTCTTAGCCTGATTTACAGACTCTATTCAAGGCCAGCGACTCTATTGAGTCAGTGAACATGCTTTACATTAATGTTAAAGTTTCAAGATAAACCTAATTTGCATACGTTCTCATAAAACAATTCCTCACTATTGCGTTCACTTTAGCCAAACTGTTTCTTCATCACGCGGATCGCATTGGATCCAATTCCAATGATCGAGATGGGTCTCGGCGTGCAAACCGAACAACGTTGCATGTAAACTAAAGCTGAATAGGGGAAAAAAAATTTGCGATATGTGTCTATTTCAATGTTTCCTTATTTCTTTTTAAACCTTTTTATTCACATTTCAATTCAATCAACAAAAACAACTCTTTTACCAAAGAATTGCTTAATCACCAATACCTGTGAATCAGATCAAAAGTTGCTTTCATTCTCGATTTTAAATCATAAATAAACTTTTCAGTATGTAATTGTGAGTAATTTTCTTGAAACCAAATAAAAAGCAGCGATGTTTTAAAGTTTTGTCAATCAGAAAGATGTTATCGCAAATTTTTGTGCTTGCAACTGTGATTTTGTAAGTTTTTTTGTAGATTATTGCTATTGTATGGTTGGTTTTAAAACTTAAATAGCAAAATCTGGATATAACAGATTGTAAACGAGTTCTTAAACCCTAATTAACTTTGGTAACTAAATCGGATGATAGAGTTTTTTTCCACGTTTGTCCACAAATTTGACCACAAATTTGTCTATAAAAACTAAGTCGTAAGTTATCAAAAACTTTAGTAGAGCTAGATAAGGTTGCAATGAGGGTTTAGCTCGAATGTAAACCCACTTGATTCAGCGCAACAACCCTCGCCTACCAATCGGTGGGCGTTCACGGATGGCTGGACTGTGCCGGGCAAAAAGTGGGCCGAAATGTGCCGGTGTACATCTACAATCAAAAATCGGGTACTGTTAGAATGTGCAATTGGCAAATATTTCTTTTCTAAAAGGATCTTATTTTCAAATAAGTCAATGACGGTTAAAAAAATAGCTCAATATTGGTTTCATTCGATTTCGATTTGAGTAACTAAATTAAAACTACTGGTTCTTTGATTACGATAGCTTTTTAAATCTAAAGCTTTCTAAATCTAAATAAATTATTTCTAAATTAGCTCTTTGAATATAAAATGAATGTTAAAGTACAGATAAATGGTATCATCCGATTTCCAACAGTTACACGAGTCAATCCGGGGAATTCCGAGTGACGGTTGAAGTTCTTTAAACTATCGTATCAAAACTCACTTTAGGCTACAGATAAAAAACTTCAAAAGCCATTCATCGTCATTGCACATCGATGTGGACAAATTGAGGTAATCATAGAAAAAAAAACTGAACTTAAAGAGAGCTTTAAAAACTTTAGTCGAGTTGTTACTGGTTGGCCAAACTGCCAATCCAGTCTAGCTATATCGTCAATGGAACTGTGGTCGAGAAATATCAGGAATTCAAAAACATTGAACTTCGCAAGTATCCCGATCAAAAGATATGCAGTGCGAAGGCGATCGACGCGGAAATCAAGGCAAAGCCATTGTCAGCAGCAGATTTTAGCATTTGAAACAATCTTTACTATAGTGGGAAGTTTTTGCTGTAAACTGTACGCTTTCCTATCAATAAATCTTTGCATTTTTATTAGATTGGGTTCCTATTGGTTAAACAAATCAATTGATTAAAAAATTGCATTTAAAATGAACCAATTAACCAAGAATTTACCCAGACAAAACGTTGGTCAAAGCTCCGATTAAAAGATTTTTAGGCCGATGACTGAATATCTTTTCTCTTGTGGGTTAATAATTTACTATAAATAAATACTATAAATTACTATAAATTATTAACCCACAAGGAGAAAAGATATTCAGTCATCTGCCTAGAAATCTTTTAATCGGTTCAGTTTTTCATTTTCATTTTCTTTATTCTTCAAGAATAGAATCTCTTCAATCACGATTTCTATCGCAAAATCGGTCAATGTCAAAAGCGTGGCATCTCTTCTCGTTTATTGCTAGAGATGGAGAAGCAAATTTCTTAAAATAACATTTGCTATTCTTCGATGTTCTGACGTCAACTCACAAAAGACTAGGACACGCCGGCTGGGATCTGATGTGAAAAGAACTGCCGGGAGATTATCACGGGATCTTAAAGGATCCGGACCTCCGGATTTCCGAGAAGAGCCGAAAACGTTTACAGTGTTGAAAGGCGTCTGCTGTGTAGCAATCGTTGACTTGAGTAATCAACCCGGTCTAGCAAATATGCAAATGTACCGGTGGTTTAAATTTTAAAAGAGTTTATATTACTGTACCTTTCTCCTAAGAGACATCCTAAGAGATTTTAGAAAACACCTCATCAAAGAGGATACTTTGTAAAGCTTTTGTTATAAAACTTCTCTTATCACTTTAAATATACAAATCTATAATAAAAGACAACCGGGATAGAGAAGCTTTCTCATTTCATAAATCTTTTATAAATCTATTAGGTTGTCGGGTTTTGAATGCGAATTTTTCGGGAAAATATTTTTTCCAAGAGAACAAAGCTATTAAGCTATTAAAATTAGTCCGGTTTGTACCATTAGAAAGGTAAATTCGTGTTCTACAGTGGCTTTTCAGCGATTTTAAAAAGCTTCTGTTTTGGGGTTTTTTGGGGGACGCAAAGAGGAGTCAGAATCGTCAAAAATCGAAACTCGTCGACGTTTGACCTTACTTGTGGACCTTTACTTGTGAATCGATTTGGAATGTTTTTTACTCGAACTTTTGAATGAATCTTTTTGAATATGTCAGCAAATTTTCAGCCAAATCCCTTCAACCATTTTTCAGAATTTTTTTTTTGAAGAATGCATTAAAATAATGGTATTTGCTCATTTGAGAGACTTTTCGAACAAATTTGAAACATTTAGAAAAAACAGCTGGAGGGGTATGGCTGAAAATTTGACTAAAACTGTATAAAGGCTTGGATTTTCATTTGAGTAAAAAAATGAATGCTAACTTTCCATCGAAAAAGTTCCCACCTGAACGATTTTTAACGATTTTGACTACTTGTCTTTGGATCCGTGAAAAATTGCCAAAAGTGAAGCTTTTCAAAAACGCTGAAAAGCCCAATGTAGAACACAGATTTCTAATGGTAATTTGAATACATTCGTTCTTTTGGAAAGAATATTTTTGCAAAAAATTCGCATTTCAAAACACGACAACCTAGTAATTTTTTAGTTTATTTTATTTATTGGAAATTTTTTAGCGATTTGAAATGCTCTTTGAAAATGTTTGTTTGGGGTGTTGTGAATGCTTTTTGGCTTTCATTTTCTTCATTTTCATTTCTTTATTCTTCAAGAATAGAATCTCTTCAATCACGATTTCTAACGCAAATTTGGCAACGGAAAATGAAAGTACAAATAGTCGAAATAATACAATTTGACGAGCATTTCCCTCAAATATCGACTATTTCTAATCTCTTGTCGATATTTTCCCGGCAAATCCGAGTCATAAGTGACGTGAAACGTTTTTCGGCCTATTATCTATAATTGAAAGTTGAAAATATTGCCTTTTCCATTGAGAGTTTTTGCCTGTTTTCTGATATCATCGGTGATATTTCTCGGAACACCGAAGAATTCGAATTCCGCAAAAAGTTCATCCAATAAAGCTGAGGTTTTTGATGGGGTATACTTGAGGAAAGTGTAGTCGGTGAAGAACTCTTTCATCTCGCAATGCCTTTAATGCTTTCTGTTTTGTTTTCATTATGGAAATTAGTTCTGAAGTTGGGTTTCTATCAAAAAATTAACTGGTATTTGTTTTTGTTGACTTTTTTAAGTCTTTCAACGGAGGTTCTTGATTAACTGATGCTTTGATATTAGACGGTATCGACAACTCTGTGAGGAAACTACTTTCAATTGCTTCAATCTTGTAAACCTATGAGATTACCATGTTTGTGGCGCAAAATGAGCATCCTCAACGGTGTGCGCACTTTGTTTCGTTCCATTGGCGATTGCGCGGAGACTTTCATATTGTTTCTCGATGAAACAAGTGATATTTGTCTCACAACCATAACACGGATTCACCCGCTCGTAATAGTGAGCTTCGGGTTGTTTCTTGGCACTGAAATTGGGCTAATTGTAACGACAACTTTACTGAGTTTCTATTGAAAGCTTATGGCCAAGAAAACTATTGAAGTTTATAAAGTTTTGAGTTTCTTTATGAATTGGCTAAACCCAGAGATGCACTAGGGCACTTGCCTAGGACAGAGTATTAGGTCACCTTTGAGGTTTCAAAACGAGCCCCAACGACACTCTTGGGTCGAGCTTACGCAGCGTCGTTTAGAGACAGTCGTGGTGTAGTGGATAGTGTGATTGTGTACGGAGGAGCCTTTCCGGTGTTTCAAAGTGGGTTCGATTCCCTCGCTTGCGTTCAGGTTTTGTTTTTCACAATAATATTTTTGATTTTCACAAATTCTTATACTGGCTAGGTCTGGGCAAGTTCAGGCCTAGTTTCTGGTGAGCCCGATGAGATATTTTTGTGGGTCATTATTGAAGTAAAGTCAGATCTTCAGATAAATTAGCCGTAAATCTGAATGAATTTCGTGGTGACAATGTGTAGACTTTAAATGAGGTAAATCTCAAGAAATACACAATTTTAGGTAGTTTTAAGAGCTAGATTTCTCGCTTGAAAGTTGCGTAGTTGAAAAAGAACTCCAAAGACTAAAGGTATAGATTTTAAAATTCCCTTTATTTGGTTTCGGAAAATATTCTAACTAACAATGAGTTTTTGAAATCGAATCAGATGATAATTGTTTATTTAGATAATTGTTTCCCTTTTGCTTTTGATGTCTGTCTTTTTGTCTTTCTATCTTTTTTTTTGTGAAATTTCTAGACTCAAAACGAAAACAAAACTCACAAAATACATTTGTCGACGAAAGCGGAAACGAAACGCTCCTCGGGTTCTCGCAAAATTACATAATTTCTCCAGCGATTACCACGTTCTGAAAGAGAGATTTGTGCGTATAAAGTAAACTTTGTAATTGATCGTTAAACAGTTGTAAAATTTAATTATTAGTGATTTATCTTAAAATAATACATCTTAAAATTGTACCTGATTTGAACTCCTTCTTTATGCCAAAACCGTGCACCTCATTATGCAGCTGACATCTTCTAAATGCGATCACACTAGACCTGAGAAAATTCCAAGCCAAACCTAATTCCACCTTTGTTTTCTCAGTCGTTTCTTTGCCGATTGCTCTGAAATTTTGTCTACAAGCAGAGAATGCTAATTTCTATTTGTAAACAAAATTTCAGAATTATTGGCCAAGAGACGGCTAAGAAAACGAACGTGGAATTAGGTTCGGCTTGGAATTTCTCGTCTAGATTATACTGTAAACATTCTAACAGAAAACCCCACGAAATTGTCATTTTTTCGGTTTTATCAACTCTAGGATAACAAAATCTTTCAGATTTCAAAACGTTTTAAATAATAATTAAGCTTAAAAGCTTAATGACGTCAAAAACTAGATGAAAATCCAACAAAACGTATTTTTGAGCTCTTGAGAATTTAGACATACTAGCTAGGGCACGAAAAAGAATTTCGGAGAGGTTGAGAAATAGGAAAGCTTTGGAATGTTGACAATAATTGGTTTAAAAACAAATAAAGTAATATTGTAAGTTAAAGCTTAAACTGGGGAGTCGGACAAATGCGACCTTTTTTGCGCACCCGGACATTTGCGCACCTTTTTTTGCTGGAAAAGGCCTTAGGCAAGGTCGTAGAGCATCGAGAATATTTCGAAAATATTTCCATATAAGGGAATCGTATGCGTAGATTCGAATTTCGACCAATCAGACCTCGCTGACACGTCAAATTTGGGCTAAAAGGTAAAAACTGCGGAAAAGCGTTAAGTTGCGTAGTTTTTGCCTTTTAGCCCAAATTTGACGTGTCAGCGAGGTCTGATTTGTCAAAATTCTGAATCTACGTATACGATTCCCTTCTATGAAAACATTTTTGAAGCTCTACGACCTTTCCTAAGGCCTTTTCCAGCAAAAAAAGGTGCGCAAATGTCCAGGTGTGCAAAAAAAAGGTCGCATTTGTCCCACCCTCCATAAACTGTGCAAGACAGTAGAGTTAAAGAACATACAGTACTGGACAATGAAATATGATATTTGAAAAAGATCGTCACTTTCGCGCGTCTGTAACTCCCTTGTCTTTGAGTTTAAACTATTAGTGTTATACATTTTCTGAAAGCTCTTTTCAAGGGCTACACAATGGTAATTTTAATATTTAGAAATACGGTAAAGATAAGGGAGTTACAGACGCGCGAAAGTGACGATCTTTTTTCAAATATCATATTTCATTGTCCAGTAGTGTAAGAATGACTCACTCAAATCAGGCTAATAGGCCAATTAAATATTTATTTGCTCAATTAAGACAAAACTATGTTGAGCCTTGTGATTGATATAGAATATCCACTCTTAACGCACATTCTCATCTATTTTTAATCCCTTACTGGGTTTACTAGGCTTTACTAGGCTTTTGACTATCTATTTATGTTAGAATATTTCACGGGATTTCAATTAGCTTCACCAATTACTTGCGTAAAAATTTATTTTGCTACCTGTTGAAATAAGTGTCCTTCATCATGTCCGGCACTTCCTTTTTGTAAGCGATTGCGTCAAAGAGATAGCAAATGATCGAGGTGAAAACAGTGGAGAAATTCTTGTAAATGACGCACGTCGAGATGCCGTATTTGGGAGCAAGCTGGGAAAATGGGAAAATGGGAAAGACTTGTTACGTATTGTATACCAGATCGATACAAAAGTATTAGTTTAGTGTTTATAGTGTAGCCAAACTCTCTCTCTCTCTCTCTCTCACTTCCTTGAGTCCCACGTTCGTTCCTTGGCTTACCTTGAAGACTAGACTCTTTCCAGCGGACTGAGGGGTTATCGGAGATTTGATACGCGCCCCGTCCCTTTGCCCCGTCCCATTGACTAACTTTGAGCTCAAATATCGTGGCTTTGAGTTGTTCAATTTAAATATTCTTGGTATTATTAGATGCGCCAAGTCTTTCTCTGTCGATTTGTACAAAAACTATTTGAATTGAACAGCCCAACACCAAGATATTTGAGCTTAAAGTTGGATTTCCAATAGCAAAGGGGGGCGTATGTTCCACAATCGATTGAAGAGCTTGTATAATACTGTGAGCACCACAAACCTTAGTAGTTGTCCTACGTTTTGGTGTTAGAATTAGAATTTGATGGGTAAAGGTAGGTTTGATAGATTTATTAGGACAAAATTGTATAGTAAAAGGACAAGCGAGTTCTCCGACTGCTTTTCGTGTTGTCTGGAAAGTTTCCCATTTGGCCCTGTCTTTCCATAACTACAGACGAAATAGAACTCAGAACAGATAAGGCTAAAAGAATATCCAATAACGAAACAATTGGCTACCGTAACCCAATTGGCTGATGCCATATAGTCGTAAAGATTACGATAACAGAAACTTGAGTAGGCGCTCAGGTACCGTAGCGCTAACTCAGCTATTACAGTAACCCAAGCAGCTAGTTACTGTAAGACTCTAGATATCTGGATGGGTTACGGTAGCATGGTTTAGAGTGCAATCGATCAATGAATCCCACCATGTGTCTCGTCTCAAAGTTGTAGAATGGTTTCAGCAATTCGCAGTCTTTCTCATCCGAACAGAAGATCTCTTCATATTTCAAAGCTCGTGAAATCTTTTGATACTTCACTGGAGTCTAAGCGAAAAATTGAAGAATAGAAACGCTTTTACCTGCTCTAAATAGTCAAATTCGAAACTTTCGCTCGAATCATTTTCATTAAAATCGACATTTTGAAAACTCTTGATGAATAAAATAAAGAAAAAGATGAAAATTAGCCCAATCATTAGCTCGAATATAATCCTGAAATGGGAACTGTTTTTTCAAATTTAAAGAATCCTGGTGAAACCTCTTTGAGACATACTTAAACCATCGACTTTGATTGAGGTAATTTGAGTCAAGATAGTAGACCATTGAATTATAGGAATGAGCGAATGAGATCCAATGAAGCTTTCTTAAAGCTTTCTTTTCAATATTATTCCCGTCAAAGTATTCTAAAGTATTGCTTTTATATTCAGAAAGAAAAAGAAAGAAAAAAAGAAAGAAAGAAAGAAAGAAAGAAAGAAAGAAACAAACAAACAAACAAAGAAAGAAAGAAACAAACAAACAAACAAACAAACAAATCAAATGATTCAATCCGGATTTTGCTTTGAAATCCAGTGAGACAAAGCCAGGGATCACAAAAGCAAAACAATAACTGCATTAACGTGCATTAACGTCTTCGATAAAAGATTTGTCTTTTTTTGAAGTGCGATGAGATTTCGCGAAGAACTAATATTGCATTTTGTATTGAAAAATAAAATTACATTGAGTGCCATTTCTCTATTTTTGTCTGCTTTTGCCTGAAAAAGGATACTGTAAGGTATTAAAAGTAAATGAATCGAATAAAACTAGGATTAGAGTAAGCGCAAGAAAATCATTGTTTAATTGGATTCGAAAAAGATATTAAAAGGATTTCATTTAGCCAAATGTTTTATGAATTTTATGAGTGAACAAAAAGAATAGTGAGGGGAAAGGTGTGAGAAAAAGCGATAAGAAAGATCCCTTTCGGAGATCAAAATCGGTGCGCTTGTCCCCCAGCCTCATTTGCATACAAAGAAGCGATTTGATTGGCGAATAAAGAAAAGATCTTAAGAATTGATTTTGATTTGTTGGTGTTAAAAATTGGCTGTTTTTTTTGATTCCTTTTGATTGTTTTTGATTGCTTTTGATTGATTCTCATTCCAATTTCTCATCAGCTACGGCCTCACGTTGAAACACGATATCTCCTCAGATCTGCCAAGTTAAGCAACGTTGGGGCTCGGTTAATGCTTGTTAAAAACTCGTACAGATCTAGATGGTGCTTTATTTTCTTTAGTCTACTTCAGAGTTCGGATAGAAGAGGTGCGAAATGGGGAATGGAAAAGATGACAAGATGAGGCTAATTTTAAGTGGAAGTCAAGAGGATGAGGTGAAGGGAAAGGTTTTGGGATTTTGAGAGAACTTTCTAAAAAAGTAAACATTTGAAAAAGGTTGGGCGATAACACTTGGAAAGAATATGTAGTTGTCTAGAGAACTTTTCTAGTGAACTGGAATTTGAATTGAAAACTTTCAAAACATCGTTAAGCTGTTTTTCATCTTTATACTACGGCCTCTTTATACTGTTGACTACGGCCTCGCCACGTTGAAACACGGTATCCCGTTAGATCTGCCAAGTTAAGCAACGTTGGGCTTGGTCTCTGGTTCGAATCCAGCAGATGGGTCAGGGAAATCTTCCCTGAATCGAGTGCTGTAGGTAACCGCACCCATATGGTGAACTGGTTGCCAAGACCGGGCCCCCTAGGCCCCCTCCCCTCGAGATTGGGATAACCAGGGACCCAAGTTAGTAGACTTGCCTAAAGCGCAAGCTCATATAAAGCGGGTAACCTTCTCCTCCTACATCGTCTCCTACATTGTCTCCTACCTCGTCTCCTACATTGTCTCCTACATCGTCTCCTACATCGTCTCCTACCTCGTCTCCTACATTGTCTCCTACATCGTCCCATCCTCACAAACGATACAATATTCACTAGGTCTTAATGTGTAAATTGTGATTATGTGTGTGCAAAATAAATCACCGGTAACCCCAATATGCATTAAATCCAAGCTGTATTTATTTCTAGTTTTAAAATTTGAATGTTAAAGCTGTTTTGCTAAAGTTGCCTGAGCTTCTAATGAAGGAAAGAAGGAAAAAAAAATCAATCACAAACTTTCAATCAACTATTGGATCAACTATTCCTTGTCTGTTAGATAGTTAAAGTCTTTTATTAGCATAAAATAACTGAAAAATATTCATAAATAAGATAGGATTTATAAACGAGTACCAGAGATCATCACAAAGTTGGGGTTGACGAGTGTGAGTCAAAAACGGGGTTGAGTAGATGGTTGCTTGTGGTTGTCACGCGAACAACACCCCTTCCCTCCTTTAAAAGATCCCCTTCTCTTCTCATGTTTCAATATTTGCTCATTCTTTTGTCTTACTCGCACTTCTTCACCAATCTTTACCATCTTTTAGAGAATTGTCTCTAAAAACTGCACATCTGCACATCAATGACAATTTTCGTGTCGAAAGTCATCTTATTTTGAACATTGTGCCCACAAATGAAAACGCATACTTTCTGGCGTCCTTATTTCGTTATTGTAGCAAAGAAACTAATGATTAAATACGTTTTTGAGCACAAAGTATACTTCCAATTTTAGAAGAATTGGAAAGTTCGAGATTTGAATCAATTTATTCGGTTGGTGAATTGAAAACTGCCGGGCTTTGAACTAAAATTTATTCAACATAAAACCATAAATTCATTCCAAATAATTTCCATTATTATTGACGACTTCTGCCCATTTTACAGGCAATTTGCGGATTCCTCTTTCGTAGTTGGATTCTGGTTTGTGTGTGAGACAAGTGTGAGACTCAAAAATCGAGGACTGGAGATGTCAGCTGTCAGCCCAGTTTGAGCACTTTCTTCAAAAGAAACCCATTTGGTGCCAATGGAAAAGTTGTAGAGAATCAAAAATGAGGCTTATAGCCAAATTTCCAAAAAGATACACTTAGTAGTTTCGCTTAAAATGCAAGTTTTGTGAAAATTCGTAAATTTGGCATTTCTTCAAAACCAGTTTTTGAATCGTTTTGAAAATTTGCATATAAGCTTAGTTTTTGATTCTCTACAACTTTTCCATTGACACCAAAATGGATTTCTTTTGAAGAAAGTGCTCAAGCTGTCACCTACGACAATAGCCGGCAGTTTTCAATTCACCAACCAAATAAATACAATTGATGCATCCAGCTGCAAAAAAATGACTCGATTCACTAGAAAAATGAAGAATTAACTGCACTAGGAAAGTCATATTTACATTTTTGAATAGTTTAAATATTCGAATAAGCTTATTATTTGTTGTCGCAAGTTTACGGTAATTGATTGTGCTTGTTTCCGTTAAAGAACTGTAAACAAAGAAAAGAAGAAACCAAAAAATGTAAACAAACAATGTAAACACTTTTCTTGTAAACAAACCCTTTCTGGTGCATTTATCTTTCAAGAATCGAGATTTTTGTCTACTAGAAAGGGTGTGTTTTCCTTTTTCAAGCACAAAGTACATGCTATAAAGTGCCGTAATTGCTTCTTGTTTTTGAAGCTTTGATCTCTCAATCTCTTCTTAAGCTTTGATCTCTCAAGCTCTTCTTAAGCTTTGATCTCTCAAGCTCTTCTTAAGCTTTGATCTCTCAAGCTCTTCTTAAGCTTTGATCTCTCAAGCTCTTCTTAATTCTCAATCTCTTCTTTGACCAATATTCTTTATAAAATCCTCTTCAAAATCGTTAATCTTTAAGGATTCTGAAACAATAAATTCTCAAGAGAATTTTCTTCAAAAAAAATTAATCACCATTTTCGCCTTTTACGTCATAATTTGATCAGAGAAAAAAAAAGCTTTATCGGACTTGTGAAATCACATTTCTCACACACCACTTAAAGCACAAACCAACACAAACAAAAGAAAGCAATCAAAAACGAAATATACTCGTAAAACACCAGGAAAATTTTGAATTTATTGTACTACATCAAAAATTTATTGTACTACATCAATTCTCTAAAATCATTGAAATTTCTTTACCAAACTGCGTAGGCTCCATCGTTTTGGCAGAACCAATCATAAACATAATGTCGAGTCATACAAATCGCTAACGATTGTGGGTAAAGATTGCCGACGTAACAAGCGAAGTCACACTCGGGCACTCGTTGCACACAGTTACCACTCGCTGATACTGGAATTTCGATCATTCGATACTTTCTTATGGTTAAAGCTAAATTCAACTTTACGATCAAAACAAAAAGTCGCTTTTTTTTTGTTTAAAATCTTTCTCATTAGTATTGTGTTTTTTATGCATAACTAGACATAGGAAAGTGTAAAAACTGGTTTTGAATGGATGTTGGCTGTAAATTTCAATTAAGCCACGGTTCAAAGTAATGTTAGGCCATAAGGAACAGCCGTAGATCTGCTGGATTGATAATGGATCCCGATTTTATGCACCTCAGCCATTTCTACGGCTAATTGTAAGCTTGAATCAGTTCAACCGCTCAAACGATCTCTATTCACCTCTATTCATCTCTATTCACCCCCATTCATCTCTATCATCTTGTTCTCTATCATCTTGTTTTCTCTCAATCCAGGAATAGACTACTGATCCCCGGGACTTAGAATTGAATGATAGAAATGTAGGAATAATTTTAACTCACAGTAAGACACTCAGTTATCTCTAGCTCAATAAAATTTGAGCTGATTTGAACACTGTTACAGGTTAAGAAGCAGGCCAAAACTAAGCTGTAAGCCAAGCAAGTCCAGATTTGATTTGAAAGACTGAAAGTTATCTTAAACGATTCTTTATGACTACCTGTATCAATTTTTTACATTTTAGGGGTAAATTTGGCAGGACGGCAGGCAGACACTGGCAAGCCCAGCTCTGGCTCTGGACTCGTCCTGCCATTGTCCGACTCTCTTTTTGAAGCACTTCTAATTAGTTGCTAAGACAAGTGAACTTTGTTTTGGTATTCTTTTGTAAGCTTAACTAGTGTCTGAGATTTCATTAAGATTTCATGCCATCAACTCACTTCTGTGTGGCACGAAAGTCCGTTTACAGTCGAGCAGACAAGAGACTTCAATCACCAGCAGTAACAAGAAAAACATTTTGACCAAAGCGGAAACAAAGAACATGTTTCTGAATTGAAAATTGAATGCTTTCAATGATTTATGAGATCAATTTCAATGTCATTTCAGTCAAATCAGTCAATTCAGATTGATAGAAGATTCGAAATGGTAAAGAACATTGAAACCAATTTAAAGCCAAGGCTAGTAAAGCCAAGGCTAGTAAAGCCAAGGCTAGTAAAGCCAAGGCTAGTAAAGCCAAGGCTAGTAAAGCCAAGGCTAGTAAAGCCAAGGCTAGTAAAGCCAAGGCTAGTAAAGCCAAGGCTAGTAAAGCCAAGGCTAGTAAAGCCAAGGCTAGTAAAGCCAAGGCTAGTAAAGCCAAGGCTAGTAAAGCCAAGGCTAGTAAAGCTAAAGCTAGAGCCAAAAAAGCTAAAGAAAAGGTATTCAGTTAACCAAAGAATACCAGGAAATTCTTAAAATAAATTTAGAATTGAAAAATGTTTCAAAAATATTTCGAAATCCTGGGAAAATTGGAAAAATTGGGAAAATTTTGATGCTGAGCTCAGAAAATTGAGCTAAAAAAAGAAGTTTTGCGTAGAAATTGAAAAAAGTTTCTTTTTCTATCACGGGAAAAGGCAACTCTTTAATCTTTTTATAATTTCAAATCTTTGGGGAAAATTTAAAACACATTTTTCGAGTTATAAAGAAAAGAAAAAGAAATAAAGAGATTTCGATGAAAAGCTGAGTATTCAGTAATTGCTAATTTTCCAAATTTAGAGCTCTAAGTTCATGGAAATTTTGAGGAAACTTTTCTACAGTAATCAGACATCAAAGCTGAATCAAAATCTTTATTGAAAAGTTTAAAAGAGATTCAGTCTTGGCAACCGATTTTGGCTTGCTATCGTGAGACTTTTCATTCAGCTGCGCTTTCCAATTTCATCTAAAAGTTTAGACCAATTAAGACCAATCAATTGGTAGACTTAATAAAAAGGAATAGCTTCAATAGATTCGCCAATCCTGAAAAACCGCCGGGTACAAATTTATAGCTCAGTATCCTCTTTTGAAGCCATCTACAAAGCAAAAGAGAAATTCCTGAGAATGACTGACGAAATGCTCTTTGTGCGGCCGCGTAATAGCTCACGATCTGGAAAACCGTTTCGGTATAAGCAGAAAAGGAGGTCGGCAAATGAGCAGGCTTCGGTTTGCTTTTGGAGTCAGGAGCGAAAAATGCACAGAATCAATTCCGGGGCCAAATTCGGCTCCATTTTTGAGAAAATAAGGACAAAAGAGTTGAGACCGTTTGCCAATGTTTGCCCTAGGTTTTTCTCAAATTTCTCTCTATTTCTCTACAAAACCAAAGGTTTTTCAGGGATTATTTTGGTAGATTTCAAAATAGTAACTTTGAAACTTCAAATCTATGAGGAAAGATGCGCCTACGTTTAGTGAAATGGGTAATTATGAGGGGTTTATAATAACAACTTACCCGGAATACCTTGTGATTTGTTTTTTCTTTTGAAAATAATTGAAGACCATGTCTAACAAAAAAATGATGTCTAGGCTACGATACGATTTTGAGGGAAAGGTTGCAGAGACATAAAGTCTTCAGAGCCAAAATTCAGATCATAGGATCATCATCAGATCAGGGGCTTGGTTTGAATGTTGATCTGCTAAAACTGTGGGGATCTGCTAAAAGTCTTATCTGCTTCATTTCTTTTAATCGGAACAGCAACTGTGAGAAGTACTTGGCAGATGAAATGTTGAATAAAAAGAGTTTCAAAATGGTCACTTAGTCAAAAGTTATAAAAGTTTAATACTGTATTAAATCCTCGGGACTTAGAATTGAATGATAGAAATTCAGGGATAAATTTAACTCACAGTAAGACACTCAGTTATCTCTAGCTCAATAAAATTTGAGCTGATTTGAACACTGTTACAGGTTAAGAAGCAGGCCAAAACTAAGCTGTAAGCCAAGCAAGTCCAGATTTGATTTGAAAGACTGAAAGTTATCTTAAACGATTCTTTATGACTACCTGTATCAATTTTTTACATTTTAGGGGTAAATTTGGCAGGACGGCAGGCAGACACTGGCAAGCCCAGCTCTGGCTCTGGACTCGTCCTGCCATTGTTCGACTCTCTTTTTGAAGCACTTCTAATTAGTTATCTATAGTTATTGGACACTCAGTTATCTATAGCTTAATACAGTAGAGTACTCTTCATTAACTTTTCCGGTTTTCTAAGTTCTTTTATTGACATTTACTAGACTAGATTTTTCATTTTGAATAAACGTCAAAGTTTTTCAATAGATGGGCAATTGGGGCAACTGAAAAATCTTTGACTTGATTGATTTTACCATTCTAAGTCCCTAAAGCTTTGAGAATACTGTAGATAAGTCAAGAAAACCAATGTGGACTCAGTTTTAAAAAGTAGGTACCGTAAATACTGTAATAGTACCCCACCGCCAATAATGACCGTGCGGAGTGTTGCGTCGTCTAGCTTTGAACGAGTTTTTCTCGACACTGGTCTATGCTACAATGCGCGCTTCGGTATCAAAAAATAGCTGAAATTCAGGGCTATTTTTTGATACCAAAGACCCATTTTTTGAAAGTAGGGGCGCTTTGAAAAAAATGAAATACTAGAAAAAATTTTGCGACTACACGACTGTACGAGGGGGGCACTATTACAGTATTTACGGTATGTAATATTTCAAAGAGAAATCTTTTAGAAAGGTAATTTTCTAACAATTTGATTCAAGAAAAATTCAAGTCGTAACTTGGAAAATCAAAAAAAAATTAAAGAACATTCAAAAATAGGGTATTAAAGCTTTAAAACTTTTGACTAAGTGGATATTTTGAAACTCTTTTTAATGATTTGATCTATCAGCTACTTCTCACAGTTGCTGTTCCGTTTCTCTTTTTTTCATAACATAAAATGACACAAGCAAAAAATGAGCAAAAAAAGCTTACAAATGAGAGATCCTTTGGGAAAATTAGCGACACGCGGTTTTAATTCCATTTCTTTTCACTCAATCAACGATCACGGGGTTGTTATGTAAGGGAAATTTTGCAAATATCAACTCTAAACTGTGTACCTGGATGTTTGTGTGTAAATTGTGAATGAATATGGTTATTGGGATCGTGAAAGGTTGTGACGTAAAAAGTTTAGCAGTGTTTTGTAAATTTGGAAAGAGAATGGGAGCTAAAAGAGACAAATAAATCTAGAGAGAAAGTGCGATCGTTTTCGAAAAAAAAAGATGTTTTAGAAAAGAAACTAGTTGAGAGGAACAGTTTCTTACTGTAGCCAAAGTTCGTATACTTTAGAAAGCTAACACTGTCGCTTAAACAGCCTAGGAACTGTAGGCAAAATCGAACGAACCGAAATCACCGCAAAATATTCCACTAGATCTCTTCAAAGCCAAAGATCTAGCATATAGAGAATAACTGGTTTAATAATTCTTATAAACAACTCTAGAGCTTAAGAAATAGATGAGATCTTAAGCTTTAAGATCTCATCTATTTTTTCAGCTTGTCTTAAGTTCTTAAGTTCCTTAAGTTTCTTTGCTATTTCTTAAGTTGACAGGTGAAATGTTGAAAAAAAAAAGAGTTTCAAAATGTTCACCTAGTCAAAAGTTGCAAAACTTTAATACCGTACTTTCAATAAATTGCTTTTCCTAGTGTACTCTTCGCCAGTAATGCCTTTTCTAAAAGGTGAATTGTTTTACAAACTTCCTTTTAGATTTTCAAATTAATTTTAATCGCATTCGATGAGGAATCAAACTGTCAACTAAATTGGAACAAAATTGAGTAGAAAAGGACAAAAACTAAAGGAAATATTATGGTATTTTTCTAAATTATTCAACTTTTAGAAAAAGCAACGAAGATAACGGTAGGAAAACGACCGCCATTTTTTTTTCTAGGTGTCCGGTATTTGCGTTCTCAACGAGGAATCGAACTGTGAAACAAATGGGGTTACGTAGAACAACCTAATCTGAACTTTGGAGAATTTTAAAGACATTAAAAAACAAAAAAAAATCGAATTTGAAAAGCTACGATAGCTTTTCAAATATCCTTTTAGAAATCAGTGAAATGGCTTTGCACTAAAGTTGATTGATTGATTGAAGCCTATTGATTGACAATGAGAAAACTTTAATAAAGAATTTGCTGACCTTTAGAGACCTGTTGACTGTAGTCAAACGTGTTGAGAATTCCTTATATAGATTGGGGTGTGTGAAATCCTCCACCCACCCTCTTTTTTTCCAAGAATTCTTTGTGGGCAAGCAGGTGGAAAACCCATTTTTGATCAACGGTCATAAGAAAAAAATTCCCATACAAATCCCACCAAAATTAGAAAATTTTCGGTTTTGCGAGGTAAACTTTAATCGAAAACTCCTTTGTTCCTCATTTTTTCTGACATTTCGAAATGAAAAGGTTTCCGTCGGATTAATTCGACCCAAGTACGGTATAATTGTCGTCACATTTGGGAAATCCCATTGTCTTTTCGGGTTTCTATTTTGAATCGAAAAATCAAATGCTGAAGATGATTTTTGTTGGGAAAAATGACTGATGTAACTAATTGATGCGGAATTTGAAATGGTAGCTTTGGAAATTGGGATAGGAATTAGGAAAAGATTCGGATAAGATTATGATTTTCATTTCAGCTGTTCACAGTCTGTTCAAAATAAACTTTTCAAAGTTGAAAATAATGAGGCAACAATTTGAAAGAATTTCTGATTTCAGAATAAAAGTAGTTCTTGGAGTTATTGCTGAAATTTATTAGCTTACTATCAATCGGTTGAGGGTAATGAGCAGAAAAATGGGAAAGCCTATTGATTGCCTATTGATTGCCAATTGATTGACAATTGATTGCCTATTGATTGACAATTGATTGCCTATTGATTGCCTATTGATTGCCAATTGATTGACAATTGATTTACAAATTGATTTGTGATCGAAGCTATAACTTTTGAAGTAAAATTGAATTATAAAGATTTAAAGCAATGCCAAAAAAAGAAAAAAGTTTCACTGCATTGCTAATTTTTTTTATTT